ACAAATGGACGATTAGTTCCGGTAGATACATCGCAGACTATGGTTGCATCTGATAAGGGGATAGGCACATCTTTGAGCTGTAAGGAAGAGTTTCTGCGGCAGGTTTGGAGTTCAACGTCATCTCTTTGTAATTGAGCCATACGATCAAGACTGATGTCTACCGACGTTTGAAGCTGGTTAATGTCACTTCTTGAAAGAGAATCGGCTACCACGTTCGCATCTCCTTTGATGTACTGGATGTCGGTTGAGAATTGGGAGATATAATCCAACTGTCTGGCTTCTCTAGGGGAGTGTTTATCGAGTGAAGTAGTGAAAGCATGACACAGGGGCTTGTGGTCAGTAAAAATAGTGAAATGCCGGCCCTGTAGTAAGTAACTGAAATGTTTAACTGCTAGGTAGATGGCTAACAGTTCTCTGCCAAAGGTACTGTAACGAGTTTGCGCAGGTTCCAATTTCTTGGAGAAGAAAGCAAGTGGAGTGATGTCATTATTGAACTTTTGTTGTAAAACTGCTCCCACTGCTACCTGCGATGCATCTGTACATAAAATAAGTGAAGCTTCTGGGTTGATATGAGATAACATTACAACGTTGGATAAGGCATCTTTTGCATTATTAAATGCTGCTTTTGCTTCTTCAGACCACTGAAATTTCTTCGAATTGCATCTAAGTAGGTCGGTCAGTGGCTGAACTATGGAGGCACATGATGGAATAAAACGTCGGTAGAAGTTGAACATCCCGAGAAAACGTCTAAGTTTCTTTAAGGAATCAGGTTCGGGAAAGTTCTTAATAGTTTCTATCTTATCTTCGGTAGGTCTGATGCCTTCGGCAGTTATTCGATGTCCTAAGAATTCAATGGAAGGGGAACCAAAAATACATTTCTTTGGATTGATAACAACTCCAAATTGTTCAAACCTTTGAAATAACAAGCTTAAGTGTTGCATATGTTCTTCCATCGATGAGCTGGCGATTAAGACATCGTCGATATATACAAAGACGAAATCAAGACCTTGGGTAACTTGGTCCATAAAACGCTGAAATGTTTGAGCAGCATTCTTTAGTCCGAAAGGCATTCTCAAGAATTCGAATAATCCAAAAGGCGTGATAATTGCTGTTTTTGCAATGTCTTCTGGAGCGACTGGTATTTGATGATATGCCCTGACCAAGTCAACTTTAGTAAAAATGGTCTTTCCATGTAAGTTCAAGGAGAAATCGTGGAGATGAGGTATAGGATAACGATCTGGGACCGTAGCGTTATTCAAAGCGCGATAATCTCCACATGGCCGCCAGTCATGATTAGTTTTAGGTACCATGTGCAGAGGTGAAGACCATGGGCTGTTAGATGGTCGTATGATACCTAGCTGCATCATATGTTCAAATTCCGACTTAGCTGCTGCTAGTTTATCGGGTGGTAACCGTCGTGGACGTGCCTTCACAGGTTGTCCTGTTGTGATGATCTTATGCGTAACTGTATGAGATATATCTTCAACATTGTATGATGGTTTAAGGATTTTAGGAAATCGTTGCAATAAAGCAGAGAACATTTCACTCTCCGGCTTTTCTATACAGATGCTATGAACAGAGTAGTCACATGTAATACCGTGGATCTTGAGTTGGGTGCAATTGTCAACCAGTTTTTTCTTGCTGATATCAACCAACAGATTGAAGTGACTTAGGAAGTCTGCACCTAGTATAGCGTGACGTACGTCAGCTACTATGAAGATCCATGTGAAACGTCGGCGTAGTCCTAGGTTTAAAATCATTGACTGTTCGCCATACGTCGGTATGTCGGTTTGGTTGGCAGCACGAAGTGAAAGTTTACCAGGTATTTTGGCTGATCGCCTGGATAGTGAGGGGGGAATAACACTGACTTCGGCGCCTGTATCTACCAGGAATAATGTGCCGGTAGTCAAATCCCTCACATAGAAAAGGCGACTGGGTGATTGCCAGTAACAGCTGTCGCCATCACTGTCTGGCTGAGGCGTTTCCCTGAGCCTGGTTGGCTTCGCTAAAGCTGCACGGTTTTACACATTTCAGGGCATGACGTCCAAACTTCCAGTGATACCAGCATATATTGCTATCCCGAGAAGACGTGTAAGAACGCTGTCGTGAGAAGGATCGTCGTCGTGATGGTGACCTTCTCTGTGAGCTCCGCCTCCGGACTTGTCGATCCGACCTATTAGTCTCCAACTTGTCAATCCTTGCCGCTAAGTCTGCAATGGCGGCGAGTATCGGTGTGTCTGCCGTGGGTGTGGAATGACACGGTGTGGCACTATCAGATGCTACGTGACTTATGGTGTTATCAGATAAAACATCCATAATACTATCTGCCATGTCACTTAGTTGGTCTAAGTCATACGACTTTCCTGAGATGATTAAAATTTGCTGGACATTTCTAGGTAAACGTTGCAACCACATCTGTTTCAGCACTACCTCGTCTACTTTATGATGTCCGATTAACTGGCGCATGTGCCTGAGTAGCTGGGATGGTTTACGTGGGCCTAGATCACAGCCTGTGAGCAATTGTTGGATTCTTTTCTCATCCGACAAACTGGTACGTTGTATGAGGAGGGCTTTAAGTTTATCAAATTGATGTTCCGTCGGAGGATCTTCGATGAAATCGCTGATTTCTGTCAATACTGACGGAGGGAGTTCTGCCAGCACCATACCATATTTGGCTATTTGGGACTTAATGCCCCGTGCTTCTAGCAACGGTTCAATTACCGCAAACCAAATCCTTGGTTCTGCGAAACCGTATTGGGGTAAACGAAAATCAGTGATGGCATTTATTGTGGCATTTGTCTCGCTATTAGTTGTCTGCTCGTTTGATGTACCGGACTGAGGTGATGACATTATGAATATGGGGTTATTGGTACAAATTAGGATACAAATATAAACCACACACAAAATCACAATGAATATACAAAATAGCAAAAATAAGAATATGAATATGCCAAAATAATCCGTGTTCTTATCGGGCTCACCAATTAATTTGTAGGGGACTAATATTAGAGTTCACTAACATTCCAAGTATAAAAGTAATAATCCAAGTCAGTGGAGTGTTAAATCACAATATATTACCAAAAATACAGTGACGAGTTATAGCAACAAAAAGGATTACTTGGTTATACAGTATAAGTCCTCGGCTACAAATTAATTATATAATCCACAGGCACGTTAACTGTTTGGACTGCGTCTGCTGTAGCTGCTGTGTTCCGGTTGTAGAAATGTCTTCGGTTGAAAGTAGTAGGCTCCTACAATAAATCCGAAGTATACAACACGGTGTGAGTGGAGCAAGTAAGCAGAAGTGACCAGGGAGAAGACGAAGTCTCCAACATATGTTATAAACTGCAATCGTGAAGTATCATAAATTATAAGAGTTTAATTGTAAACCCTTAACAATGAGCACCGTACATTTAGCTAAGTGCTATGTCCTTGGAATGTGAGTATACATTTGCAATGTTTAATGCCAACCATATTGGTGTAAGCATAGAAAATGTGACGTCTTCCATGAAAGTACAGCTTTGTTCAAACACTGGTGTTGTTGTGTTTCTAATAAAAACAAATAGACTGTAAGCAAGCAACTAATAGGCACAAAGAGTAAGTCTCAGCTTTAATAAAGGCATATCCAGTTAACATAAAATTCAGTGTAATAGTGCACAAATGAAAAGACCATAGTGATGTAGATAAGTGATATTTCAGTGAGAGGTAAATTGAAAGATCTACTGTTCAGCATTTTTTCCTTTGATGCAGTTTCTTATCAACAGTTTGCAGTATTCAGAACATCACAAGTTGCTTACAGATAACTTGTTTAATAATAATTGCTTTAAATGTATGAGTCATAAGTGCATCTTCTACATCTTTCATAGCCACAATTAAGTCATTAAGGATCTCAGAATATCTTAGTGATGTGAAGCAAAATAATTATTAAGATTGATATAACCTATGTAACAGGTGTAGTATTTGTATGACACAGCTGCTAGCTACTAATCGACAGAAATCTGGTACTAATTTTAAGTACTCTGAGATTTGAGAAGGACTAATTATACTATTCTTCGAGACACGATGAACAAGGATGTCAATATACTCTGATGCCATTTCATGCACAGAGCAATTAAGGCCTTGTGAAATTCCATCTGCAAATGTCAATTAAACTATTATCACATCTTCGCCAAAGCACTTTTAACTAGGAACTTCATCTAAATAGATATAATCACCAGGAAATTCAGCAGCCTACCTCATTCATCGCATAATGTCGTCGATATGTTATGAGTATTTCAGTCATCCCGGATGATAACAGAAAAGTTTAACATGTTCAAAGCACACATCTAACCTATGTCTGCATGCTATTTCTCTTTATAGGCCAGATTCTAATAGATTCACTAGAATGACAACAGCCACTGACTGCAGTATATTTACAACCTTACGATCTGAAACAACTCGCAAAAAAACAAACCCTCAACGCACTATTATGCAAATAATAGTCTTTCTATGCGAACTTTCTTAAAAATGATGACTTCTTCATTGATAATTCGTCCGAGCTATAATATACAATTTTACGCTCTACTAAGAACAAAATACAGCAAAATACTGCCATCCGGCTACAGAAGTCTAAAACTAATCAAATATAATCTATTTCCAAAAAAATAGGTGATTATAACGTCTGTTGACGTGAGCGCGGTAACCGATGGCATTGCGCGATAACACCTGGTGTCGGCCTATATCCTCACACCAATATTTCCCGAGGACTTAACTAAGACACAAAAGGTGAACCAACACATTTTAGTGTCTATTAATCTCCCTTAAGCTTCCTCGACATTCCCATTGATACTAACCCACCAGTCCTCTGTATATGCAAAATGTCCTTTTTTAATGAATAGTGACCATCAGCTGAGCTAAAATATCATAAGCTGGACACTTTTAGCCTACGGACAACTAGTTGACTTGTTTCCTTGACACGATAAGAGAGACCTTCAATATGCGCGCTTACTTCGGATAGAAAAATGCAGAGGAGTTTGTTGAATTTTTTCTCGCGGTCTTCCAAGCCATTGACTGACTCTTCGAATAAAACATGTCCACCAGTATTAGAAGACAAGAGCTCATTAATTGAGGTGTCTACATGCCATACTCCCTCAAACGTATTTAAACCAGAGGTGAAGTCACTTGCATCCTAATCAATAATAAGTTTATTTGTAGGTTTCTTCTGAAGACCTTACTTTGTCTGTTAGTAAAAGACGTCGGGTAATCATTGATTCCAGCGACGAGGATGAAAATGAAACTTCCATTCTGTCGGAGTCGAAAACAGAAACTCCAGCTAAACGTGATGTGGGTTTTTCTTCCGTTTTGTGATCTCCTTGGTAGTTATCAAGTTTTTGCCACTCTCCTCAATCAGTGAAAAAGCAAAATTCCAAACAAAAGGAGGATGCCGATATTTCGCAACTAGAGACAAGTGGAATCACAGAGACCAATGAGTCTTGCTTCGATGACGACTGCATGTCGTGGACTCACTTAAGTCTCCCTTTCTTAGATCCGTGTAAGATCAAAGATGCAAATGGTAGGAAACCGGATCATCCTAACTATGACCCTTGCACACTATATGTCCCAGAAGAATTTAAGGTTTGCTCTTAACTCCAATTTGTAATTTTAGGCTAAACAAACGCCAGGGATGCGCCAATGGTGGGAAATGAAGTCGCGGTATTATGACGTAATTCTATTCTTTAAAGTCGGGAAGTTCTATGAAATGTACCATATGGATGCCATGGTCGGTGTTAAGGAACTGGGTTTAGTTTTTATGAAGGGGAACTTCGCTCACTGTGGATTTCCTGAGGTTGCTTTCGCTCGTATGGCTGACCAACTTGTCCACAAAGTAAGTACACCTGACTTCTGCTCTGATCACATAATGTCAAGGGTTATAAAATTGCTCGTGTTGAACAGACGGAATCGGTTGATGCTATGACAGAACGATGTAGAGGGAAATCTTCAAGTGAAAAAGTTGTTCGTAGAGAAATATGTCAACTTATAACTCCAGGCACATGCACAGCCAGTACTCGTTCGGAGATTTCTGATGTCAGATCCCTTGTTATAAACGATGGAGAGTTTGAAGATGAAAATGCCAAGGATTCCATGGACTCTGTACATTTGGATTCGTATCTGCTTGCACTGACTGAGCTGCAAAACAACGAGAATAATTGCTTTACTTTTGGGATAGGTTTACTGAATGCTTCCACTGGGAAGATTAGCGTAAGTTACCTTCATTTACGTAATACGCAAATAGGTTGGTCAATTTGTGGATGATCGCCACTGTTCCAGGTTACGTACATTCTTATCCCATCATTCTCCTAGCCAGGTAAGATAAATTTTCACTTCGCTTAAGGTTTATGTAGCTTCATTTTGAAAATTTCAGTTTTGTGCTGATTTGGTTTCAACTAGGCTTAAGTTTTGGTCTATAGTGACTGCTAAATTCCTTGCCATTGTGGACTTTTTGTTGTCATAATTCTTACAGGCATTACATTTTGACGTTATTCTAAGCATCAACTTCTTAATCATACTGTATTTTGATAAAATGCAGTTTGTTTCGCCTTATTTTTCTACAAAGGTCATGTCAGTTTGTTTCCAAAGTTAAGAACCCACAACTAAAATTGCAAGCTAATCATCCCTTTCATTACTGTCGTATACAACGCTCACGAAACCTCTTGTTAGCCATGTGTAAATAAACTTCAAAATTCTTATAGGACACTAACTAGTGTGACATGTCTAGTCCTTTCTTTGGTGCAAACGAGTACCAACTAGCACAAAACCTAAGTCCAAGGTTTCATGCCAGTCGCCTCTAACTATATAATATCATCAAACTCCCAAATATTCATTAGTTCATTAGTGTTGCCTAATTCGATAGCAATCCTACATAAAAACGACTGTTTGATAGTTAAATATAATGCTATTTGGTTTTTAGATGTTACTTGTAAAATATTAAGTGTGACAATGAGGCAATCAGTGCAAGTTTACTACTACGAATAATATTTTTAGTCACTTATAACTAAGCCGACTAGCATTTCAATACCTCACAATGCATTACCACCTTTTGAATTCTGAATGTATGGTTTTCGTTGATCTACCTTCTCCATATATTTCTCTTCCTTAATTAATGCTTTTTAACTCTTCTGCCTGCAAATGGTGTCAACTTCAAATTTAGGTGTGGTCGGTGTTCGAATTGTGGAAGTTGTAGTTAACATAACGGTGATTCATCAATGGTATTAACCAGTCAACATTTTACTTAATTTGAACCATTGTCTTCAAAATTAAATTGTAATTAATTCTCCTGAGTCTTATGTTCAGTAGCCGTTTGTCATTATAATATGGGTGTAAACAGTTGTGCAGGCTGCAGTCACCATAAATTGTGTTCGATAATATGGTATATATTCGCATTTAAGATGTATTTCCCACTGTGGTTTAACTTAGTAGATAATTCATGAGTTTTTAGTAGCTGGAACTCGTTATGGTGTGCAATATATTTATTAGCTAAAGGTTGTGTTAGCTGAGCGCTTAGTTTTAAGTGAGTAGTATAAGTTACTAAATCGAAGTTTTCTTTCGATTTTTACCCAAGTCAATCGCAGTATACATCAATTCGGAAATAGTATATAGCCTCATATTAAAGATATCGAAGTTTCACATCATGTTCACGGTCTAGTCGCTTTTTCTTCGGCATAAAATCCTGTAGTATGTCGTTAACCTAACCACATTGATGGTTTTCTTGGATAGGGACTTTAAATAGACTATGTATTTGTTGCATAACCTTTGGGAGAGATCCGAATTTAACTGAGTCACTGGTGAAGATGAGGCTAACTTTTTGTGCAATATGTTATTTTGTTTCGTGTTCTACCAAGAGTAAGTTGTACTATGAAACCTTCCCCACCTGATTTTATATGTACCCTAAACGTAAAAACAGTACCAAAACCCGTTGCGTGACATCAGAAAGTTTTAAAACTGTCACTCATATCCAGATGCTTTTCATCATTAGTCAGTTTCTGTTTGTCTTAAATTAAAGTTTTTCTGTTATTTCTCTACTATCAATTGGTGAGAATACAATTAACCTCTAAATTTTCGTTAACAGTCGAATGATTTCATTGTAGCACACGCCTTATTATTTGTTTCATAATTCCAAATTTAGGTTATTTCTTAGTTGACATACAGCCATTACTTAAGTTTATTAATTTGATGATGTTTACATTATTCTCTTTAGTTGCTTGTAGAACATGGGGCTACAGGAACAGCTATAAGGTCCTTATTAAAAACTTCTCTATCGTGCATCCCAACAGAATATCTTACTCCAACAAAGCAGTTTTGGAGTGCGAGGAATACTGTCGAGGAGTTAGAGACGGCTGAGTATTTTCCTAGACGGAAATGTGACGACAGCAGTGGTTTAAACCAGCAACCTGAAACATTTCCTGAGAAGGAAAATTGGCCAAGTGTTCTCCTAAGCATGCTATCTGAAGGTTAGTATGGTGAAAGCAGGGTGAATAGTTTTTTTTTATTACAGCTACTCATGTACACTTTCCTTCTAAAAAATTTTACATACCCTTATGCAGGAGAAATAGAAATGACGATGTATTTGGGTGTGAAAGCAGACTGAAAACATAAGCACATTAAACATACAGGCAATTTCATATGCGTAATCCATCATCAATGAATTAATATCTGTACGTAGAACGATTTACTCTAATTTATTATAAATAAATCTGCTTTGCATAGCGGCGGAGGTCATTTGTGATCGGACAACCTTTTCGGATGACCTGTCTTCAGTTTGCGGTGTTTAGAAATTTTCCATCACTTATTTTGGACGCCGTATTTCTAAGTTGATTGCTAGATCTTTATCAACAGTAAAAGCTACAATGACTACAAGTTTTTTGGAATAGGTATCAATTGTGGGTTCCGTTAAGTATGTTTGTCATCCAGAATCTGATTGAAAACAAATGCGTTGTTTTACATTGTCCAGAATCCATTCTAGTCTCAGATAAGTCCTCTTAGTTGTACTAGGTATAGAGTAACTTAGGCTCAAAATTAGTCAAACCAACTGTTCTGAGATAGTAGAAAGATTTCATCTACTATATGGTAATGAGTGGAAAAAAAGTAGTTGTTTATGTAATACGAACCTGATTCAAAACACTCAATCTCTATGAGGGTATTTCAACAGAATGGTGGCTCCTTAAAGTATTTATTTCATGTTCGATAGTGGTTTGTGATGGTGAAATAATAAACAATACTGCTTGTTGCGATCTTCGTTTTGTAACACTCCTAGTCAACGTTCTGAGATTCATCGTACCATTTTAAGTGTAATAAATATAATTCGATTAAATAGCATTTGGTTTCAGACGTGTTAACGAATACTTTTGCCTAACATTCTCTGATATTTTCTTTCAGATGACCCATTGGGGAGAACAGTAAAACCGGAATGGGAGTTAGCTTATCGGTGTCTTGGCGCTCTTGTGTATTACTTGCGCTATTGTCTAATAGATCACGAAGTGATGTCGTTGGGTTACATTGATATATATGTACCGCCAGATGTGAAGGATATTAATTCTCAAAGAATCGGGCTCCCACCGAACAGTTCTATACCAAGCAGTCTTGTATGGTAAGCTTAAACTGTTGAACCGTTTTCAAGCACCAACTTTGAAGATTTTCAGTTTTTTCATCCACCCATCCGTATTTTTGTTTTATCAGGCTGGTTTAGGATATATTAGTGTTTGCTTTAAAATATTTTTACTACCTAAGGCGTAAAGCTATGGTTCAATAATAAAAGAATAACTCAGAAAGCAAAATCTGTCTCTAACATTTTGCTAAAAAATATCTCGACATTATTGTTATGCTGTTACTACTTCCACATACCTTGACTATTACTGGTGGTAAGCTGCTTTCTTCTGTAGTCTGATTCTTGAGAAGCTTCCATCTCCTCGTGATTTCTTCGCAGTGATATTTAGAGTCCCCTTATGTCACTCTAGAGGACTTCCAAACCGTCATTTATGTATAGACAAGTCAGTGGGGATCCGAGAATTTAACTTGACCTCTTTGTCCAAAATCAGTTAACCTTAGGTTCAGCACTGTCAGTTCTTGTTGTTTGATGTTATTGCTCATAATCATAACAACTTGTAGACACAACTACATAATTTACTTTATATGTATATATATATATATATATACATATATTCTTCCCCTTGTTTATTGCAATTTTCTCTATCTATCCGGTATAGCCATTGTCCCATTTTTTGCAGGTGTGTGGTTTCGATTCGATGGACAAAGATCCGTCAGTTAAATCCCCACTCTCCACCTGACTATATTATATTCTAATACTTCTACCCTACCTCACCCTATCGCGTAACTGTATGCACGTGAATACATCACGGTGTCTGAGGGTTTTTCTAGATTTGATGGTTGGAGACAATCTGCCACAGGAAGCCTTGGACCTAGGTTTCGTGCTAGTTGGCACTCGTCAGCAAGGCGTATCTGCAACCTTGAAGGAACTCATGTCCCTTCTGAGATTCGAACCCGCGTCACCCAGTGGTACAGTCAGAGACGTTACCACTGAGCTATTCGGGCTCGCGACTGACCTCCTGTAGGACTGTAGTGGATGTTTTGATTTGACACTAGTAACTAGTGTGATGCATCTAGTCCTCTGATTGGTGTATACTGAATTCTGTCGGTCAGGTTGTAATGTTTTTCTAGATTATTTAACTTAGCAAGGTCTATCATTCTAGGTATAGCTATATTTTTGTTTTTCGATGATCCATTCGACCCCAACCTATTAGTTTGACTTACGTAATTGACCTCACAGTCATTACATAGTATTTGGTAAATTATAGTTTTCTCCTTAATTGGACCTGTCGAGTCCTTAAGCTGTCAAACTCTGTCGTCTTTGTGCATCAAATTTGTGTAACGTAAATGACGTGATGTCTATACCGGATATATGGAAAATTGCAAAAAACAACTTGGTATATAAAATATATATGCTCCCCTTTCTTCCCTCTCCTAGGGGTAGTAGAATTTTCCAGATGCTTGTGACAAGTGTCGAATCATTCCCATTGGACGTATTCTCAGTTGATTCTATACTTAGAGCTTCACTTATCGATTTCTCCCTCCACTCTGTTAAATTAGATTTAAAGGCTGTCGTATTGTTCCTTACTATTATGCCGTTGTATGTAATTCAGTGTAGTCCTGTGGCTGCTCTATTTCCTAGATTTCCTACCTTATTAGTGTCAGCTAATCTAGATTTAGCTAAATGTTTCTTACAAAAGGATAGAATAAGATGACGAATAGGAGTAAAGAGAACTGTTAAAAGGAAGTGTCGACGTTGTGTATTTGTTGTCGACATGATGAAAAATAAATTGTATTAGAAATGCCATCTAGTAAATAATACTGTTTCAATGTGTAATATATCCAAAAAGAAACGAATTTTTATGGAATTACATACTTCTACAGTGCTAACGTTCTATTCATATATCGAACTTGTGTATAATATGAGTACATCCATCCACTAGATCCATAAGTAGTACTCAGTGTATTGTGATTTGAATAATTTGTGACCAAATAAGCTCCACATTCTTTTATCCTGTTGGTTGATCCATTTCCCCTTACGCCTTCTAACACCGGTTTCCAATACATTGGTGTACATACGATACTTTTTAGTAATTATTCATAATATAGATGTTCTTATAATTTTGTATTGTCCATAAAAACATTTACAGGTTTTGGACAGTATTACACTATCTAACTTAGACATAATTAGAAACAATGCGGATGGTTCACAAGAAGGAACATTGTTGCAGCGTCTTAATACATGTTGTACCTTTTTTGGTAAGTTTTGTAGGATCTCTTTTGAAAAAAATTTTGTTGCACAAGTTACGTTCATTTAGAACACTGAATAAGTTTGTTCTATTTGAAGGCATGTATTTTTTTATGTATGAAGGAATAATGATTTTGTTTGTATTTACATTGGCAACAACAACTACCTATTAAAAATTCATGAAGATTTCGACAGTTTATCATGTAAAATCGTGAATATGAGTATTATTGACCAACTGTTATTTGACTAGTTTCATTATTAATCAGTTGTCACTCAATATTTTTCATGAACTTTGGATTGAAATCAGCGAATTGACCCCCTGTGTCATTAGAATATCAAATAATATTTAATGGTTGGTTTGTAAGGATTAGATCTATTTTAACGAGTTGATCACGGATTGATATCAGTTAGAGAACCATTGAAAAACCAGCGAGTACTGGACAGCTGTTTCATCCTAGGTTGAGAATCATCGGCAGAACGCACCCATTGGGGTTCGAAGCCAGAACCTTCCGGTTACAAGCAAGCTCGTATATCATTTAGCCACCAGGACCCGATTCACCGGCCAACTCATGAATTCCAACTTCTGCCAATTCGTGATTTATCGCTACCGCCAACCAATGTCGTTGATGAAAACTCGTTCCTCACACTTGACTAGATGGACCTCACTGGTAATTACTTCTTACTAGAATTCCAGGAAACTCTGACCTGTAGCAAGTCATTAGCGAGCATCGGATTAATTTTCAAGAGTTGGTTCGTAAAAGCAAATCTAATCCTTAGTGACTGATTACAGGTTAGTGTCACCGGAAGTTCTAGTGGGAAGTCATGATTAGTGGGCTCCACCAAGTTGGTCATGAGGACAGGTAGTCACAGATGACATTGTCCGGTGTTCACTCTATATCGTTAGAATTGCATGACCATTTTGGATACTATCCCAGTGGCTGAACATTCAATGAATTCGCCGTATAAAGTGTAGGTCCTGGGCTCGATATCTGGTGGAGTGATGGGTGCGTCCTGTTAAAGAATCCCAAACAAAGATGAAATAGTTGCCCAGTACTCCTTGGTGTTCAATCGTCCTAAAACTGAAGTCAATATGTGATCAAAACTGAAAAAAGAAGAAATATTTAGTTTCCAAGGTGATGAGAGATTATGGGTGATCGTGGGCTCAGCTAAACAGAACAGCAGAAAATAGGACAAGGTGGAGATGTGTTATTGACATAAGGATAAAACTTGTGCACTGTGGTAGCGTCTGTCTGTCTGTCTGGATTCAACATAGAACTTGGCACCAAGGTGCACCAGTTCGAGTTGCCACGTTCCAAATAGCACACAGAGGTAGACAAGAAGATGAGTGAATAGAATCAATAGAGTTTGACAAGTATAAGAGTGAAACAGAATGGGTAATGGTAGAAGGAATATGAAAGATTACAGAGACTGAATACATCTGCGCCATTGACAACGATTTTGAGCCATGTCACCTATTGTCTCCAGCCATTGATTCCTAGAGTCCCGAGGGCCCCAACCCGGGAGTCTGCATCTCCCTACCTGACTCAGTTTAACTGTCAAGGATTTCATGGATTGATGAGGCCATGTTTTTGTTTGGCCACCACTTACTCTTTTCCAACCTGCACCTATATCAGCTAGCAATGCCCGTTGGGGGAGGCGATGGTTAGGCATGCGCAGCACGTGACCTAGCCATCTCAGTCTATGTAACTTTATAGCGTCGTCGATTGATTTTCCCTCTTTGCCCAACACTCTACGCCTAACGTTAACATTACTTACCTTATTAAACCACCTAACGTGAGACAGAGATCGCAGACATCTATGATCGAAAGCAGTCAACCTTTTCATGTCTTCAACTCGTATTGGCCTTGTTTCAGAGCCATAGAGAAGGACGGAGCGAACTGATGAGCAGTACACACGTCCCTTGGTTGATGGCCGGATGTTACGCCTACGCCAGAGATGGTGTAAGTCAGCGAAAGCAGCTCGAGCTTTTCGGATCCGTGCTGAGATTTCATCGCCAATCAGTCCGTTAGTGCTAATACAACTTCCCAAATAGGTGAAGTGGTCAACATGTTCTATCACTTCACTCCCTATCACTAAGTTAGGAGTTGACGTGGTCCAGTCCTGTAGCAGCATCTTACATTTTGTAGGGGCGAATCGCATGCCAAATATACGAAGATTGCTGCTCAAGGTGTTCAGAAAACTGCATTTTGTCATCATCCTCCCCTAACAGGACTATGTCATCTGCATATTCTAAGTCCATAAGACTATTCCCTGGTAACAAGTCGATTCCTAAGTCATTACGTTCAGTTAAGGATATTTCCATCAGCATATCTATGATGAAGTTAAACAGAAATGGGGAAAGTGGACATCCCTGTCGGACACCACTGGTTGTTACCAATTCAGATTTGAGCCCTCTTAGTCCAGATTTAGCGTCCAGTGCTCCTTTTTAGGAACGACCAGGGTTATTTCAGTACTTACTGGGTTCATTTCAGTTAGATTAAATATTCATTTGCCGCCAAAAGGCATTATTGACGCGTAGATTAGAATTAGTTCAGAATTGTTGTAAGGTCGGATCTTTAAGCGTTTCTACGGTATAAGTACCGTTTCTATTAGTCACTGTTATTTTGGATGTGCTGTGAACCAGTAGTTTTTTTTTGGCTGATAACACGTTGTTTGGTCGACCACATCATTACAAGCGAAAATGATTTTTGAGACGAAACCTGCATTGTCATGCAAAACACCAACTGAACCTGTCTGCCTCAGTCGATAAATCGGGTCTTGTAAAGTACCGATTTCTATTCTACTGTCGCATTTATTATGATAAGACTTACATTTATTTATTCTAGCTGTCATATTCCTAATATCATCATATAGGATAACTTTGGTGAGTCTCTCGTGTCCTAAATCCGTTATTTCATGGACATCAGTGTTCCTTTCAATAAACTGTTGCATAACTGTCATCTCCTCTGATGATAGTCGACGTCTAAATACATCGGTAGACATGAAACTTGCTGTGAATGGATGGTTATGCACAGTTTTGTAGGTGGTTATCTTGTATCCTTCAGCTGTATGCAATACTATAAATGGCGACTGACGTCAAATACTTTCGGACCTAAAGATTTTTTTAATTTACACGCACAGCTAACCTCCCCTTTGTTTCTCAAGACAGCACCTATAACAGCACGATGACCTCCAAAAGTACATTCACACCTCACATACTCTTATGTCATAGGGCTGGATCTGTTCTTATTACGACTTGAAGCAACCCGGTAAGATGTGTTTGGTTGCTTCCAAAGAAATAAGGAACAAGTTAGTTGTTATCTTCACAAATTCATCAAAAGCTTGTCTAAATTTCACTCACGTATAAAATACACAACAAAGCATTATTCCTTGAGTATAGCCGTTACATCAAACAACTTGGATGACACATTTCGTGAAGTAGAGGTAGTAGGAGTATTTTGTAACATCATGCAATAGTTTTAACAATGCATAACAAACACAACAAAACGATTTTAAGCAGTACTTCAGTACTTACATACCACTTTCGTGACCTAGTAAACTGTGGTTGAATTATTTTCATGTAGTAAGCACAAATCACATAGGTCACTCAACGGACAAGTTAAAGAATATGTGTCACTTGAAATATTGTATTACCACTCTATGAATTTTTAATAACAATGCTTTTTCATACAGATTTTATGTAAAAACACTTTATCACCTTTCCACTAGTTCTTGTCCATTCTACGCAATCTTATTGACTAGTCATTATGTCTCTTTTCTAACTTACAATTAGTCATCCCATCTAGCCTACACCTTACATTACGTAATACACTTTTCGAGGACAAATTTTACCAGTATGTGATTGGTCTAATATAATTACGATTCTACAAGTCATGAAAATGAATCGTCGAAAAGAAAATTTTCTTCGCTGTTTACACCTTTTTCTTATAAAATGTGTGTGTATCCTAATCTAAGACAGAGTAATGTCTCGAATTATATTCACCTAGTAAAATTTTCCTACGTCTCAATGTATTTTCAAAACCATTAATGCATCCAAGTGTGTGTGACTCATCGAACTACATTCACACACCATTCTTCATTCTACTGTCTATCCACCTGTAAATATCCGTGTGCAAATAAAACATCTGCCCCCTCTGACAAATACATTAGACCAATAGGAGGCCAACAGCCAATAAAAATCTGTCCATATCGACTTTCGGTTGTGTAATTTTCTAAAAAATTGAGTTAATGAGACGTAAATGACTGTTCAAACTGATTCCGTTACCAACAATTAAACATAAAATAGTTAGCATGATCAAATATTAAGGACAATGATAACTTGTGAATTATAACCATAGACAAATGTCAAGTGGCAAAACAATTAATGTCATACATAGAATAACACACTTCAGCGAACAATATTGTTTTCAATTAGATCTCATCAAGCTTAACTCTAATATACATAAGTTTACAAATAAAAATTCAAATATAAACCATTCATGGTGTTTTGTCTATAGGATAATAAGATGGTGAATATAAATTGTGCAATTAGTCATAATAGTAGTATGATAATAATAATAAAGTAATAATAATAATACTAATGGTCTTATCAATAATAAGGATGGAAAAGTGAGGCAATCTGTGATAACACGAATAATGAAAAACAGCATGATTAATCAAACATGTGTTCAGGTGGAAGTAGTCTATAAAGGCTAGTAAAAACAAACGAACCGATTAAGTAATGTTAGATTGTAAGGGAAATAAATGAAACACGTTTATAATGAAGATGTGATAAGATTAAGGGATGATAAGAAAGGGGTTGAAAATATAAACAAGGGGTGGTGTAGAAGTCATTAGTTGGTTATGTCTTAATAGGCCAAGGGAGGAATAATGGCTGTACGAACTTCTTTTGAATGCATAGTTTAGGTTTAATAGTTCGAATGCCTATCGCCTCAGCTGTGTGCAGTAGACGAATACGAAGTCTACTGGAAAGATTCGGTGGGATACGATGAATTACTTTGAAAGCTCTCGTTTTCTCCACTACATGACCACTATCAATTAAATGTGACAAAATTGAGCTACGGATTGTTTTTGTCTGTCCTTTGCCAAACCACGATGGGAGATGTTCACTAACACAGGCTGGCTAAGCTGTCTAGTAGTACGCCCAACATAACTGTCACCGCAGGTGCAGTTAAATTGATAAATGCATATAGATGTGGCAAAACTATCAAGCTTATCCTTTGTTTGCGTCCCAATCATTCGTCGGCTAGAGAATGACCAACATAGGTGTGCTGCGTAAAATGTTCTTCGTATACTCCTGGAAAGTCTCTGGAATAAAATCTCACTTGATAAGTCACCATTAAATTGTAACTTAATAAATAGAGGTTTTTTACGTGCAGTCAGAGTCTCAGGTTTTCTCTCTGATGTTTTCATATGTTTCTTTATGAAACTACTCGGATAGCCCATCTCCGTCAAGGAGTCGTGAATATATTCAAATTCCTTTTGTAAGAGGTCATCCGTACATATCTTTCTTGCTCTGCTCGCAAGACATTTGACAGCATTCCTTTTATATTTAATGGGCACGTAACTAAGGAAGTGTGTGTATTGCCCTGTGAATGTGCTTTTTCTATACACGCTTCTCCCAAGTGACCCATCTTCTCTCCTACTTAGCAAGACATCCAAAAAATGTAGTTTATTCTCCTGCTCCTCTTCACAAGTAAAGGTAAGCGAAGGGTGGATGTTGTTGAATTTCAGCAACAATTCGTCTATGTTAACATTCCCATCAGCTAAGATAAATGTATCATCGACATATCGGTAATACATATCAAACTCCTTGATGATGTCCTTCAATTTCCCGTTTTCAAGTTTTGCGAGAAAGAAGTCAGCTAATATTGGGCCTAATGGTGAACCCATAGCTATTCCATCTACTTGTCGATAGTATGAATTATTGAAGACAAAGTGAACATTCATTGTGCATTTAAGAAGTAATTCCTTGAGGCTCCACAAGGGGATTCCTAAGTCCAATTGCCTTTCGGTGATTTCTTGACAAATATAATCCACTGTTCCCATAAGCGGTACATTAGTGAACAGTGATGATACATCCATGGATAACATGCGTTTATACCTCACATTAGTCTCGAATATTTTAGAAATAAAGTCGAAGACATGACTAATTCTATGTTGCATGATTTCTCTGTGCAAAGGACCCAGAATCTTGACTAACCACTTCTCTATTCCGTGAAATGGAGGGTTATACATATCTAAAACAGGATGAAGAGGAAGACCCGGTTTGTGCACTTTGGGTAGACCGTAAAGACGTGAAGTATTGGTATCCGTTGGTTTCATGGACTCATACGTGGTTGATGATAATATACCTATTTGGTTCAGTTTTTTGAGGGAGTCGGTCATTAGTTTCTCCGCTCTTACATTGAGGTCTTTGGAAACACCAAGAGATTGGAATTTAGTTTGATCACTCAAAATACCTTCCATTTTCTCAACATATTCGCTTTTGTCCAGTAAAACTATACCGTCACCTTTATCTGGCTTCCTAATAATTAAGCTTTCGTTGCTTCTAAGTTCTCTTAGAGCTTCTGTGTGTCGCTTAGATAACAGACTATTTACTGAATGTCTATTATTTTTGTATTGCTGGCAGTTGTCAACTAGCGTCGTTTGAATCTAGTTAGTTCATCGTCCGATGATGGGGTAAGATCTGACGTTTGAGAATACAAATTTTCAAACTGTAAAGCAGTGCCTAATTGGTCAACTTTAGGAGCATAATCACTAAATTCGGGACCTAGAGATAACACCTCCAATTGAAACTTATTGAGCACAACACTGGAAAAATTGTGAACATTCCGGCCCGGAATTGACGAAAATTTCCTTTCAAGCTTTTGGCTTTCGAGAGATTTGACAAAACTTATCCTTTTATTATTACGTCTGTTTACTGTTACGTTATTAACATATTCAATGTACATCAATTGTAATTCCTAAGGTAAATCATCAACTGAAAATTGTCTTTGTGATATATTCCTTTCTAGATCATTCATAAGAGTTTTAACAGAATCAATCTGATTACGAGCATGTCTTTTTACACTCTTAGGATAAATCCTCATTCGTCATAACGACCACCAATATAGTTTGGGATAACGTTCCTAATCCCAATAAGACTGACCTGTATATTCATAGTTCGGTGTACATCACACTAAAAATACAATTACAGCTTGAAAAGATGTGTTTGACGAAATCTGTCCATTTGTCAAGGATAGATGTTTTATATTATTCTTAGCCATTCGCCATACGTCAATTTCTAGAGTATTTGTCATAATTTAAATTTTTGTCCATTTAAAGATTATTGCCTGAAAAATTCTGTTTTGCTTTTCAAGGACGCCGTTTGTTACGCCAATGGATCACTGCTCCACCGTGTAATCCGAATATCATCAGACAAAGACAATTATCAATTGAAAATCTTATTCTTATTGCTGATATGTTTCCAAAACTTCGAGAAAAATTAAGTCAGTTACCTGACTTGGAACGTTTGGTTGTGAAGTAGGCATACTTGTTTAGCATTTTATATGCTTCATGTGCATATTTTAAAATATTTTGCTCCCTGAACACTGAGTCTTGCAGATTTGAGAAAGATTAGATACAGGTCTCTGGAATGTTCTGCTACTGTGAAATCCTTGAAGCGTAGATAAATTGTGTTGACAAATTCTATAGCAGTTATTTTAATAAATGCATAACTTTTCACCCAATTGCCGTGTAAGTTTTTAAGCTAATCAGGGGAATCGGGACAGAATCTAGTCGCTCATGAAAAATATTCCTTTTTATGTTTTTATTTTGCGCGTCGTTGGTTCCGTGGTAGAATACTCGCCAACGACACACGTGGCCCCGGGTTCGATCCCTGGCCAACGAACTTCTTAACCTCGTCTAGCTAGCAGTAAGCCCGATTAAAAGTGAAGGTTGTGCATGAGGTTAGCAACCCTACCCTGTAAAAACGCATAAAACTTAAGCTTGAAGCCCTATGCTCCACGCGAAACGCAAAGGAATAAAATAAAATATTGTTTTGATTCACCTAAAGAAAATATGGTAGAGAAACTGTTGATTAATTTCATCTTAGTGGTGCGAAGAAAAGTAAAGAAATGCCATAAGAAGATTTCAAGGTGTAAAATAGATCAATATTTGACATTTTCAAACTCTTACTCCCGCTAACACTGATTTCTATTTTGGCTGACATTTTTAGATGTCAGACTTGTATACTCACGTGTATTGAACGTTAGAAAGAAGAGAACACGAAGTTCAGCAAAGATATCTTTTCGGCAATTTCATTCTCAAAACCAGCTATACAATCGCATTTATATAGATTAGTTTACATGGATACAATTATTATTTGTTTAATTCCACAGAGTAACGAAGGTGATAATAATTTTCAACTTGATATGAAAGTTTGAAGGTACGAATATAGATTACAAGGGGCTTAAAACAAGATTGCATAAGATTAGAAAACAGTTACAACGTATGCAAAATTAATATTTGATAACTGGAGAAATAATGTTAAAGGTAATAATAGGTGATAATTGTTTTCAACTTGATATGAATTACAAGAGGCTTAGAGACAAAATTTACGCAGGGATAAAACGAATTACAGGTGTGAACCAAAATGAGCATGGAACTAGTTATTTTAAGTTTGTTTCCATGCTCCTCCTGATCACACTTGTAGTCCGTTAAGAATAACTATTTTACAATTATACTCTAATCCTGTGTAATTTTTTGTTTCTATGCCTCTTGTAATCTATATTCACACCTTCTCCCTAACTTACATTTCAAGTTGAAAATTTTGATTTCACTTTGTTTCCATGCTCATTTTGGCTCACACCTGTAATTCGTTTTATCCCTGCGTAAATTTTGTCTCTAAGCCTCTTGTAATTCATATCAAGTTGAAAATAATTATCACCTTTTATTGCCTTTAAAATTATTTCTCCAGTTATCAAATATTAATTTTGCATACGTTGTAACTGTTGTCTAATCCTATGCAATCTTGTCTCTAAGCTCCTTGTAATCTATATTCCTACCTCCAGAGTTTCATATCAAGTTGAAAATTATTATCACTTTCGTTACTCTGTGGAATTAAACAAATAATAATTGTATCCATGTAAACTAATCTATATAAATGCGATTGTATAGCTGGTTTTGAGAATGAAATCGCCGAAAAGATATCTTTGCTGAACTTCATGTTCGCTTCTTATGTATTGAACGTGACTAGTTTGTTCATGATGTCAGTACTTATATGATGACTATTCGATTCTTTTTCTGCATAATCAACTGTAGGTTGGCAGTTAGTATCGTTGCGGTGGAATTTGTTTCTCTGTTTATAAGCCGAAATATGGTTGCTGGACTTGATATAAGAATAAAACTTGTGCACTGTGGTAGAGTGTAATTCCATTATGGGTAAATTTTGTTTGATAAAGTCTCACAGCGTTATCAGTAAACATAACAGGGTTGCTGGACTTCTTTTTTGTTAATCATGTGAGTCTACGAATCTTCATATCACTTCATCATGTAGAGGGCTAGTGAAGTCAATTTAAGAAGACACACCAGTCTACGGTGAATAGTTATGTCGTCAGTAGGATGCATTCACATTACTTCAGCATGCAGCAATGGTGTACATAGGAAAAGTATAGTGTAACCTTCAGATTATTTCTATACAACCAATTAATTTTTTCTCATTCCTTCTCCTTTCCGGGTGAAATATTGAATTCGAGGCTTAAAAATCCAGTAATGGTGTTGTTTTTGTTTGTAGAATGGGGTCACTAGCCTTACACCCAACCTTTCCTTTTTCCCAGACTTATTGTTGGCTAGTAAACTAGGCGAGATGTTAGGAAGTTTGTCGTCTGGGAATGAAACTCCGGACCATATGTTTCCTTGGTCACTAAAAAATATCAATTCGCAACCAAATCACGGTCACTTATTGTCATTTGCCATGTATATTTGAAATTTGTGTATTCCTAACTTTTTTGTGAAACATACACCCCGTTGTGAGAAAATATATTTATGTATTGTTTCTCTTTATCCACGCGTATTTCATGGGGTGTTACATCTAGCTGTTGTCTACAGTGGTGTGAATTTGAGCTATATCCGACCTTAATACATATCTTGAGAATTTCATTTCTCGTTACTTATTTGTATATGCTCTATACATTTTTGTATTTTATGGTCCTATTTTTTTAATGATTTGAGAGTAGCTGGATTTGTTTTGTTCTGAAGTATGACAGCATAAACAGATACCGTTTCCTGTGATATTCAGAATGGGTGCATACTGATGAAGAGTCCCAAACTAGGACGAAACAGCTTTCCAGTATTCCCAGGTTTTCCAATGGTTCTCTAACCGATGTCAGCTCATGATGAAATTCTCTAACCAATATTCAGAGTTGTCGTATATTTGACTGTTATTGTTCTCGTGTTTTATTTTTTTTTGTATTCTGTAATTTTGTCTGTCGTTATTTGCTATCAGTCATAATCGCATTACAAAGCTAAGATGATCAAAGTAGCATCAAATCTACTCATTGTCATTGACAACATGAATGTAGAATAAAGTTTAAAAAAAGATTTATAAAATGAACATGTTTATAAAAAAGGATTTAGTTAATTGATCATTAAAAGAGTATAATAGTATTCAACTATATTGCTAAGTGTTATAATCTAGTGTTTGAAATCTATTCTCCGCTGCATAGGTCTGTACTGAAAAAAATTTTCTTTATCTGTGTAAATTAATTCTTACAAAATAGATTTGAAACCCGAGTTCAAATATAATGACAGTTCTTACTGCTGTGTACAGCTTATGCTAGCTGAAACTCTATATCACTTTTAAATATATGATAAAGTTAATGCGAAACCTGAGAGTTAGAATACAATGACAAAAATTGGTTCCTTATTTTTTGTTTCTGTCTGCTTTCATATGGTTTTTAGAATGATTTGTGTATTTCTTTGCGTAATGCGATAACAATAAATTAATCTAACTTATTTTTGAAATTTTTTTTTTATAGAATTCACTTGTTAGGCTGCAAAGGTGGTGATAAGAATCATCCAGATAATAGAGCAATTATATTTGAAGAAGTTCAGTATTCTCGAAAGAATATTACTGATTTCTTAAACACTTTGGATGGATTTGAACTAGGCTGTAAAATAATTCATGAAATAAGCCATTCTGAATTGAGGTTAGTTGGAGATTATGATTAATAGGAAATATTTGCATTAAATGCTACTGTGAATCATGTTTATTATTAATGGAGTATTTCACGTTGTGACATCAGAAACATAAATCTAGTGAAAAGTTTACTGAATGCACATATATATATTTCAGAACTGTGTTCCGTGATGTGTCAACAATGATAATAGTAACGTTAATTGCAACAAAAAGTTCTGTTATTATAAGAATAGTTCAATAATAATAATAACATCTTTATTCCAAACAGTATTTGTGGTACAGTTATAGAATTTTCAGCGTGTATTACAATATTGCATCTAATTACCTCATAAATTTTATAAGATTTTAAAATCAAAAAGCAACAACCAAAAAAAGATAAATAAAAAGAACAGCGTTGCGTTTACATTTTAAACAACACACCACAGGATATGAAATATAAAATTGGTGTGTAATAGAAGATGAGAGCAACAGTGTAATAATAACAAGGAAAGGAAAACAAAATCTAATGAGACTATTTGTTAGAGTGCCGCAGTATGTTGATCGTGTCATACCTAACGGATTTCTCATCACATAACAGCTGTGCCAGATATGGTATTGTGGAGTTTTTGTACTTGGTAGTCCTAGCATATAGCCTCCTTTAGCTGCTTCTAGTTCTACCAGATGAAATTCAATATCGACTGGTAGCAAAGTATATTACACAATGCATTAAATTGACCATAGAATACATGTGTCTTAGGAAGGAGTGTAAGTATTTTCCGGTGTTACTACTGTTCTTATCCTTTGAACACTCACAAATTAAAGCCAGACCTTTGTGTACAAAAGAAGTATGTACAATCCCTACCTCTGCCTTGGAAGTAGAGGTGTAACGACAGAAGGCAAGAGTCAGGCAACAGATCATTTATTAAGGAAATCAACACATATTTATAGGTTTTCATATACATATTGTAGATTATTGTTAGCAGAAAAACAGTCTTCTGATTGGCTGTTTCTCACATAAAGTTAACTTCGCATCTCGTTGTGACTGTCTCTTGATTGTCAGATCATCTATATGTTAACTGTATCCGCCTACGCAAAGTGTGCTGTGGTTGTTTGTTGAATCAGTTGTTGTTCAGATTTTCTCACGACCAATATTTGGGACATAAGCATTGACGTAAATTAATGTCTATCAATTTGGCTAGCAGCCTGCTCTCACCACATAGGGACAAACATTATTTATTTCTTATTTTATTTATTCAGTTAATCTATGTAGCCTAACCTCGTTACTATAATATAATTACTAATAATATTGTTGTCACTATTTCTATTCTCAATGCGAATTCTTTCTACTTATCGCACTTGTCATACTGAATCAAAATTTTTCTACAATGTTGAATTTTTCCATATCAAATTTCACACCATGTTATATATAACGTTTTATAGTGGCCTACTAAACCTATAATTTTACACTCCTTTCTAACATCTATGCGTCCTATGAACTATTCTATATTTGGCTTTATTTGTTTCGCCATTTGATATTTAGCTATGATTATGAGCATAAACATTTTGAATGCATTTCATACTATTATTACTTTTCACACATTCGTTTAATTTTTCTCATGCTTTATTTTTCAAAGACCATATATATATATGCGGTTGTACAGCTTGATAAAAACATTCGTTTAAATGAGTTTCTTCGCTGAATGTTTTATTCTCGTACATTACTGTCTGTAGGGTTTTATATTTTCGAATGGTTCAGTGTTGCATTCAATAATTGATACCATCAGTTCCCTTGAGAGATGTGAATGGTCCGAAATGAACACCATCTGCAGAATAATATGAATTCATTTTGTGTCGTTGGATTTTCATCGGTTTCATTCGTCCTGAATAATAAACTGCATAAGCAATAACTTTGAAGTAACTGAAACATTTTAACTGAATAGGCAGTTCGTTTTATAGGAGTGAAATAACATGTTGACAATGGAGACGGGGTGCAAAGTATACGGGAAGTTAGAAAAGTGGATTATCATCGAAACAAGAACATTTTATATTGTATTTAGAAGAATGTTTTAGAATTCTAGGGTAATTCACACATAGGTGGAAACAACTACACAGTTACGTACACAGTTATTCAACAGAAATGAAAGCGGTCAAGGAAATAAAGATATTAGGAATTAGTTAGTTAGTTAGGAAACAGATAAGCGTACTCGTCGACCTATGACATACACAGAATTCAAGTAAAATAAAATGAAGTTTCAACAAGTTTAAGTGAATGAGTCAGTGCTTATCAAAGTAGTAATAAGTCAGTAATAGTCTTTTATTGCCCACATAATTCAGGCTTCATACTCCGAACAGTCACAGTTTCCATAGTTCGAAGTAGTCTGGAGGTGCTTTGTCTGTTCAACTACGTTGATTTGGTGTCCTGTATCAACCAGTTGTCGAGCTATGGCTCTGTTAAATGAAATTATTTCACATTTATTGCTTATATATTTTATTATTAGTAATGTTATATGAAGCTGATAAAAATCCGACGAAATAAAATGAATCCATATTATCCTGCAAAAGTGTCCTTATCTCATTATTCAAATCCGATAATTCAGTTTGATGTTGTAAAGGTTAGCTTTTCGGCTGACATCCTCTAACTAATATCTTTATTTGGCGTACGTTTCAGCTCAGCGTATCTGAAGAATTTAGTGACTCTAACCAGTATGGGAGGTAAATTCCCTGATATCATGGAGAAGATAAAGTATTTCAAGGTATGTTCTATTATTTGAATATCATATATTTCTACCCTAAGTGAATATGTTTTTGTTTATTCTTCAGTTGCCGAACTTTTATCACATATTTAATTCTTCAGCCTGTTAGCTATTATCCTCCCTCCGCAAACAATGGGTGCTACTCAGCCTGCATAAATGATAAATTTATTTTAGGTAACTTAGTTCTAAATAATCTGATTCTCAACATTTTGAGTTTTATGTCAGTTATGTTATGGTTTATGGCACCCCAGTGTGTTCAGTCACAGGTACTTAAGTTGCTTTGCCCATCTTAGGTAGAGCAGTATCGTGGGTAATGGCTTATTATCAGGTGAATAAGGAAAGTAGATCAGTAGCATTTTGAGTCACCATCAGTTGATGTACCTTTGATATGTGTTGCGTATAGTATAGTTCTGTATTCTTCAACAAACCTTATTTGAAGTAGGAATAGTTAAACCAAAACATTAGTCATTCATGGATTTGTGTGCTCTTGCTGAACTGTGATTTTTAGGGCTCCAAAGATCAATTCGTGGAAACTCCTGATAACATAACTCAAGATGTTAACAGTACCACAGGTGTACTAACTTGTCATATAGAAATCCTCGACATCCTACCTTCTCATTAAGTCATTCTCTCCTGAGCGCGTCTGTTGTACTATAAATACTTGTCTTTCCAAATGTGACAGCCTGAAATGCTGAACTTTTTTGTGAAGTCCTGCCTTATTTGATTCGTCAATTAAAAACCTAGTACTAAGTTTCATAATTCCTAGCCCTTTATGTCGAGTCAGATGTTGTTACTTTGCACTGTGAAATTCATGTGTGAATCAAGATTCATAATTGGTTCATGCAACGTGTCTTCTTGGTCATCTTCGTCAAAGCAAGAAGAACGAAATTTGGAGTATGAAATGTGCACATTTTATATCGAGGCTTCTCTTCAACTGCAGACAGTCTAAAATATATATAGTGTTGAAAAATGTAGAACACACACTTTTTCTTCTATTCACCAAAAGTTTGGCGTGGGAAATGTAATTTAACGGAACAACAGTGGGTGAACTGTGATGGCAGTCAGTTACGAATGACACAATTGTTTGATTTCTAAACTTTTTAGTAGGAATTTCGTAAAAAACAGACTAAATAGCTACAAACCTCTATTATTTGTATCTCGCGTATCACTAGCTGTTAAGATAGACAGTGTGTTGGTATAGATGATACAGAAATCTATTTGGTCATTTTGAAATCAGGACTTCTGTATTAAACGTGGACAGCAGCTTATCTTTTCTACAATCTGCTCTGTTACAATTCAGTGGTGCGTAATTCCATTACTTCTAGTATTCTGAATAGTATATTTGGATTTTATGCTTGTCACTCAGCATTAACTACTACATGTATATACTGTTTTTCTTTTTGCAGAATGCTTTTGACGCGGAGAAAGCCAAACGTGAAGGGCGGATAACTCCAGAGCCTGGAATCGATCCTGATTATGATGCATCGATATCAGAAATCAAGGTGATACTCAATCTCTTTATGACTTTTTCCACTTTAAGGTCAAACTGATTAACGGAGTAAAAATAACCCTAGTGTACTCCAGATCAGTCTGCACCAGTAGGATAAGAAATCTAGAAAATAGCAGAGCCATAGTACTGCATTGAATTACACACAACTATACAATATGATAGGATAAGATGACAGTCTTAAAATCTAATAATACAAGGTAGAGGGAGATATTAATGACGGAAGCTTTGTTCATCAAACCAACTAATAGTGCATGCAAGTAGGAGTGATTCAACACCTGTCCCAGACATCTGGAAAATTCTACTACCCCTGAGACAAGTGAAAAGGAAGAAAGAGAAGTATAAAAAAAATCAAGTTTGGGATTTTTCTAGTTATAACTAACATGATTATTATAAATAAATTGTTTTCGAAGTGTGATATATATCCATCCAATAAATAAATTAGTATAGAATTCCATTTTAGGCTGTTTATGCATTTTATTTTCATTGTTGTAACCTTGGAAAAAAATTTGTAGATATTATTTTTTGGTAGGTAGAGATTTTTGTTGTTGGTTCTTGCATTGTGAGCATAAATCATACGAATTGGTTGTGGCTCAAACTAAGTTGAACAGTGTTGATTGATTGTATAATGTATTAGCACTTCTACTTAGTGTTCCTTCTTTTTGGCGAACTTTATACAGAATGTTTCCTCGCTCCTATCGGTGTGAGTAAAGCCTTTGATATAAGTAAATCCTGTGGTTACTTTTCGTGTAATTTTGAAAGATAATTCCTTATCCTACAGGAAAAATGCGTGTTATTTTCTTCAGTTTATCCAGCTTAATTTTGTGTTTACCAGGCTATAAAATTGCTCAGCGATTAGTACATCCTCTACACATTTTTAGTCTACTCGCTATATGCTGCAAGGTAACATGTAAGAGGTTTTATTGTCTTTGACCTAATATAGCTTGGTACCAACTATTATTTAGGTAACCATGATTTTCCCCTCCATTCGGGATAATTTAGCTTGAAAACTTTCATTAGTTGTTTAGAAAGAAACAGCACCAATTTTAAAGCATCAGCCTTTGAAACCCTTCATAAGCAAAGTGTCTGTTTGTTCTCTTGACCTTGACAGTAATTACTTTTATTCTTATGGTTTTGTTATCATTGTGTTTATCTGTATTCGTCTTGGTCGTGTCGCTAACTTGATATTTTTCTTTTTCTTTTTATTCACCGATATTTCTAAACCATAGTAAATTGCTTATTAGTTAGGTTCATTTGTTGACCTCTTTGTTTTATTTATTTTCGTCACTTATAGAGAATAATCGGAGATCTGGATGCGTTTCTGATGCAGTGGAGCAAAAAATTCGGTAGTCGTGTAAGCACTTTTAGATTGTCGTTTGTATAGTGCGATTTGTGTAGTTTGCATTGATAATTTTGGACATAGGGTAGTATCATTTTATTCCAAACCTATTCATCAACTGTAAATATTCTTGATATACATAATTATTGGAGTATGTAACTATGTAATACACTTCGATAGTGTTAAAAAGGAAGGTTAATGTCCGAAATTCATCTCAAATAACAAAATCTTGAGTTGAAGAGTTTTGTAAATCATCAGAATAATTAGCAGTTCTCTTATAATTAGTTCCGCAAGATGGACAAAGACATGGGTGTTGCTAAGGCATAGAAATTAAAATAAGGCATCATTAAAAATACAGAGTGTGCACTGTGTAAAATGGTTCATACTGAAGAAGGCGTGATTAGGATAGGCATAAAAAAACAGGTTGAAATAAAATTTTATAGCTGAAGATAAAAAAGTTTGTTGACAAAGGTATCTTTTCGGCAATTTCATCCTCAAAAGCTGTACAGTCGCATTTATTTACATAGTTACAATTACCACTTTATTCCCTATAGTAACATGTGTCTGTGAAGCTAAGTTAATAGGTCGTTCTGTGCACGTCCTGCGAAAACACCACCCAACATGACTGTAAAGAGGTGGTACTGATTCATTCAGAAGCGTTACAATTGAACACCTTGCCCCAGCGCCTTTTATACCATCTCAACTGACTCATCATTCACAGTCATTTGAAAAATGAAAACAATCTATTGAAGACAGTGTGTTCCGATTATTTTCTACTACAGAAGCCTTCATCATATGCATCAAGAAGCCTGAGATATCTGTTAAAAAAAGATAGTCCAACTGCTACGTTTACCATGGATCTAGTTCTTTTTGGCTCATTAGTTGTCATTCTTCTTCTCATTCTCTTCATCTTTTCATCTGCACTTGTAGAAACTATCATTTCAACTTGTTTCTACGAGCATTCCATTCGCATCTGTCTTCGATAAAAAAAAAAACTACTTTACATATTACACAAACATTTTCTAATCCTGTGTGATTTTGTCTTCATACCCATTGTGGTCCTAACTCACATCTTCATACTTCTATATCAAGTTGGAGATTATTATCTCCATTGATCTTTGTTTGTAACTGTATTGAATTAAGTAATAATTGTAACTGTGTGGACTTATATATGAGAATGCGACTGTATAGCTTTTTTGAATGAAATTGTCGAGACAATTTTCTTGTATTGTAAAATGAAGTGGTGACCAATCAAGTTGACCGACTTAAGTGTAGAAAAAATTAACTATCGATAGCATTGGATGAAAGTTACAGTGTATCAAAAACAATCGTAATTGGGTAAAAACCAGTCACGTGAGACCTATGAGACCTGGCCATTGAGAGTGGAAGACATGAAAAGATTAGCTGTCTTTGACCATAGGTGCCTGCGTTCTATCTCTCGTGTGAAGTGGTATAATAAGGTGAGCAATATTGAGGTTAGGCGTCGATTTCTAGGTAAGGAGGGGAAATCAATCGACGAGGCAGTGAAGCTACATCGACTGAGGTTGGTTAGGACGTGTGTTACGTATGCCTAATCATCGCCTTCCTCGACGGGCGATGTTAGCTGATACAGGGTCAGGCTGGAAAACAGCTAGCGGAGGTCAAACCAAAACATAGCACCAGTAAATGAAATCTACAACTGTTAGTCTAAGCCACATAGGAACGTGTAAACTTCATTTTTAGGACGGTAAAAACCAATGGTTGGAAACAATTGGCGACATGGCTCAAAATCGTTCTCAATGGCTGGCGCAGATGCATCCACTCCTTGTGACTTATGATTTCCAATGAAACTGTTTTGTTCTTCGTTATTACTCTTCCTTTGTCTCACACCTCTGTTTACTGTCTCTAATATGCATTTCTTCTACTTTCTTCTCTTGCTTTGTATGCCACATGGAGTGTGGCCATTCGAACTGCCGCACATCGGTGCAATGTTCTATGTCGAAAACAAACAGACAGACCACTCACGTCGATTTCTTCTGTTTTTTGTGTGGTGGTAACAAATATGCTGCCAGACTGAATTGTCTGAAATTAGATTTCCTAGAAAGCCTTTTCTGTATACCTTTTAGAAGTTCCCATTTAGATAGGAACTAGTACCCGTTACTGTCTACACATTTCTGTTAGTTTTGATACCTGATGAAAGACACTGAAGATAATCAGTGGTTAGAATAAATTTCACGTATGCTGCAACAGTTCCAGGAATTCAAATAGGAAGTCTATATTACCCCTTAAATATTTAGTCATATTGAAAAATTTAATTATAACCTGTTAAAGTAATTATATTAACATGTAATGCGATCTCTGTGATACACCGTTTTCCATGCAAATTCTTTAGCTTGTGTATTGGGGAACTGGTCGAAATCGTTATCAAATTGAAGTCCCAGAATCTCTTGCTTCGCGTGTGCCTAACTCTTGGCAATTAGCTTCACAAAGAAAAGGCGTTAAGCGTTATAGATGCATGGAAACACAAGAATGGTTAAGCGAATTAACTGCTGCTGAAGAACGCAAAGATGCTAGTTTGCGATCAATAATGCGTCATATATTTTCAATGTTTAGCGAGTCGTAAGTTATGTATTAGATTACCTATATTACCAATTTTTGCTTTATTTGCATGAACTCACTAAAAATATCTCTTATTATTATCCTTATGAGTACATAAGCTGCATTTAATTTCTTTTAAAGGTTTACTCAGTGGCATACAGCAATGACCTGTTTGGCTGAATTAGATTGTCTAATTGCTTTGTCAATGTATAGCACAAACGCTTTCGATGTCATGTGTCTTCCGGAATTTATCGATTTGAATTCATTTACAAAAGTAAGTATAACTTTCGTCTTGGTGTGTCTCGTCTCTCCTTTGATTTAACCACTTTTCAATACGGTCCTAATTAGGACGAAACAGCTGTCCAGTATTCCCAGGTTTCCCAATGGTTTTGTAACCAATGTCAGCTCATGATGAAATCCCGTAACCAACCAAATCCCTACAAACCAACACTTAAATACTTTTCAGTTAGATCCTCATCTATGGCTATACTCTAATATATATGTAGCAATTTTATTACAATACAGAAATTTACCAATTTAGTGGTGATAAGTCCGTGGACAATAATTAATGAATATCTCAAGTGTCAAGAGGATGACAGTTAACCAGGAAAATTAATGCAACAATTAAAGGGTATAAGTACTTGTAAAAATTAAACAAGTGGACTACACAATACATGATTTTGAAAGAAATAAGATGAGTAATTAAGAAATAAATGAGCGTCCAAACTGATTGCATAATAAACAATTATAGACGATAAAAGAATAGGACAATGATAATTTATAAAGGGCTTAGGGGAAGGGAGAGTTTGTTAGTTTTTTTCCATACATGTAATGGTGGTCAAGGTAAGGAAAGTGGCTGCACAAAATTATCCCGAACACACTGGTTTAGCTTCTTTAAGTGGATTCTTATAGCTTCAGCTGTATGTAGAAGACGAACTCGTAAAACAAAATTAAGACTAGTCGGAATATGATAAATAACTTCAGATGGCTGGTTAACATCAACTTCATACTCAAGTCTACAACACTTGTTAAAACAGAGCTTCGGATAGACTTTGTTTTCCCCTTACTTAACTACGCAGGATGATTTTCCGAAGTCTGGTGATGAACATGTCTAATTGCCCACCCGGTGAAGTTATCTCCACATGAACAGGCAAGCCGGTAGATGCTTATAGAGGTAAATTTAGATTGAAAAGAACAAGAAGTTCAGCAAAGACATCTTTTCGGCAATTTCATTCTCAAAACCAGCTATACAATCGCATTTATATAGATTAGTTTACATGGATACAATTATTATTTGTTTAATTCCACAGAGTAACGAAGGTGATAATAATTTTCAACTTGATATGAAAGTTTGAAGGTACGAATATAGATTACAAGGGGCTTAAAAACAAGATTGCATAAGATTAGAAAACAGTTACAACGTATGCAAAATTAATATTTGATAACTGGAGAAATAATGTTAAAGGTAATAATAGGTGATAATTGTTTTCAACTTGATATGAATTACAAGAGGCTTAGAGACAAAATTTACGCAGGGATAAAACGAATTACAGGTGTGAGCCAAAATGAGCATGGAAACAAAGTGAAATCAAAATTTTCAACTTGAAATGTAAGTTAGGGAGAAGGTGTGAATATAGATTACACAGGATTAGAACATAATTGTAAAATGGTTATTCTAAACGGATTACAAGTGTGATCAGGAGGAGCATGGAAACAAACTGATTTTATAACTGAAAAAATAGGATGAATTGAGTGAAGGCAAAGAGAGAAAATTACACACACACAGATAACAAAACAAAAAAAGCGAAAAAAGCTGAAGGATAAGGGAACATACAGAACTAGATCCATGGTAGTTGTAAAGGCTGGACTAGTTTCTTTTGAACACAAAGCTACGGCTTTTCGATGCATATGGCGAGAGCTTCCGCAATACAAAGAAATTGGAAACACACTGCCTTTGGTAGATTTTTGTTTACTTTGTAAATGACTCTAAATGATGAGTCAGTTGAGATTCTGTGACAGGTATTGAAGAGATGTTCAGTTATTGCGCTTCTGATTGTACCAGTGCCTCCTCTTTGCAGCCATGCTGGGTGATGTTCTCTAACACGTTTTGATAAGACCCGCCTAGACGACCCATGTACCTAGCTCCACAAGATCAGGTGAACTGATATATGCACATTGAAGTGGTCATATGCGGAAGTCTGTCCTCGTTGCTCCGAAGTAGTGAGCGGCTAGAGAACACCACTCTTAGAGTTGCTGCCGGAGGGAACGAAACTAATAGTTTATCTTTATTTCTCAAATGTGAAATCAGTGTGTGGTTGTAAGGAGGGAGCGTTATCCCGGTGCATTGAACTCTCTCCTTGCTGTATTCTTCAATTTCTGTGTTATGATTACAGTTTTAAAAACAAGGCCTTCTTTAAAGCTGTTGCCATACTGAGTTACACTGGTACTAAATTAATTTTAATGAGCATTGGTCATGATGACCTCTTTACTGTTATTTTCGGTATCATTTCGAATTTCTTACTGCTGATTTTATTTCCTGAATATATTCCATTACAAAATTTGAATTGTCAAAACAGTCTCCAATCACCAAAGCTTCAGTGCTTTGCTTCACTATTCACTTTAGTCTGTTTGGTACACAATCTTGTGAGAAAAGTAGTAGATGACACTACGTATTACTATTACAACGAATTTATGTTTAATTTGTGGATGGTGATTAGAAATGGAATCCAGGATGCGCATTTCGTCGTATTTGGGACCCGTCATCTGTATGTACCTGCATTTCTCAGTGAGTGATGATGTTCCCGCCGAGGCTCGAACCCAGTGCCCATAGTTTCAAACGCCGAAGCGTTATCCACTAGACCATTTGGGCCACAAGAGCCCACCTCTTGTGCAATGGGTCATATTAATTTAATTTAATTTGAGATTTTCCCGTCGATTGATTGGACCGAAGTGCTCGGTCTCAAGTTGACATGTCGGCTTCTTGTGCAGATGCTTCGACGATATCTGGGCACTTCGGTCCAATCAATCGACAGGAAAGTCTCAAATTCAATCGAATGAGTTTATATATTTATATTTAATGACTTTTTATTTTGTAACATTTAACCTTACCGTTTTCTCGCTGTTATTTTGTAGCCATTACTTCACATTGTTGACGGAATTCACCCATGTCTAGTAAATACCTTTTCTGGTGGAGACATCATTCCCAATGACGTTGAACTTGGCGCCACTTCAAAACTAAGTTTGAAAGATACGGAAATGCAACATTATACTGTGAATAGTATGTTCAATAATGCCTCAGTAGTTCTTGTTACTGGCCCTAATATGGGTGGAAAATCAACTTTGATGAGACAAGCAGCCTTACTGGTTATTCTAGCTCATCTAGTGAGTTCGCTCAGTGATTTTCTTCTCGGTTGCGTAATTTTTAATTTACGCGAAGTTTTAATCAATTTTTGCTGTTTATGTCGTTACATTTATTTGGTGTATTAACAATTAAAGAAAAAATTTATTCTAACAAAAACGAGTGTTAATATATGTGTAAAACGTGGGCACTGTGGTAGTAAGTAATTCCATATTCGTTTGTTTATTAGATGTATCACACAGTGAAACAGTATTATTTACTGGATGACGTTTCGAACAAAATTTATTGTTCATAATCACAAGACTTCGAAACTTGAGTGTTATGGTTTTCTTTGTTCTCTCCTAGATATCTAGGACAGGTGTGGAGTCATTCCTGTTACAGGTGTTTGTAGTTTGCAGCTTCCGTTATCAATCTCTCCCTCCACCCTGCTATTACATTAGATTTTAGAACTGTCTTTTTATCCCGTCTTATTGTATGGTTGTATGCAATTGCATGTAGTGCTATGGTTGAACTATTCTTTAGATTTCATATCTTAACCGGGTCAACTAATCTAGATTTTGTTAGGTTTTTGTGCTCGGCTAGTCTGACTGCACCTGTTCTACTACTTTGATCTATGTATTTGACCTGATAATCACTGCAGGCAGGGTATTAGATAAACTAAATTGTTTTGTTTTAAAGGTTCCACAAGATTGATCCTTTAATAGGACGAAATGCGCATCCTGGATTCCACTGCTAGCCACGATCCACCAATTGTATACTTGTTTCTAATTGAGTTTATGGGTTTTAATGCAACTTTTGTTGCTGCCTTGTTAAAAATTCTGCCTAAGTTTCCGAGGTCCATTCTCTTTATAGAAGTACTACTGTCATCTGACAAATAATACTGTTTCACTGTGTGATATATCTAATAAACAAACTAATATAAAAAACGAATGCTGTTCGTTAAACCGTTTTTCTTCAAGAAGTATACTGGTATATGACTCAGAGTATTGAAGAGACCAGGAAAATAATTTCATTATCGACCATCTACAATCATTGAGTTATATTTGATGAGTATTTTAAATACAATATACATTCATTTCGATTTATGTTAATTAGTTATATACAACTAGTCGTGAAATATATAGTCATTTATTGATAAGGAAAACCATACAAATTGTTCAGCGAAGATATATTTTATTCCAAGAACTTCATTTTCAAGCTCTACCGTCGTATCTGTATTATGGAAATATGTATTAATTAGCACTAAAACTGCTCCGTTAATATGCATACGATGAGAATAAAGATAATTAACTTCATGTTTATTGGTTTAGAGTTAAGTTGGATGGAAAACAGAATTTTAAAAGATTATTAAATGAGTGAATTGGTAGTAATATTTTAAAAGTTGGCGAAGTGTTGTCAGAAAAAAGAATTAAAAGTGTTATGGTAATAACAATAATGAAGAAGGCGAAGATGAAATAAACTGGAATTAATTCAAATGGTGAAACTAAAACAGAACATTTCTATTACCAAGGTAAAGAAAGGGGCTTTAAACAAGTTTTCGAATGCATAATTTAGGCTTTCATTCATATATAGCTAGAGCTTTGGCTATACATAACTGCAGAAAACGTAGACTTTCCGAGTGACTGAATTTCGCTCTGTAGATAACTTCAGAGGGGAAAAAATCACATGGGGGCAGATTAAAGGTGTCTTCACAGATGGAAATCTTCGTCATCCTAAGTTCACTTTCCATTAACCGAACCAGGTAGTCTCACGCTACTCATTTCCCGGAGAACATGCTTATAAGGTCAAATGTAATCAGCTTCACAGGAGCGTTTGAAAGAGTAGATGTTGCACATAGTGGTGAACCATAAATAGTTGTTTATCCAACACGCATTGTTAAATCATACTTCATCTGGAGGATACTATGTGTGAGTCAGCAGCATAAAAATATCGTTTAATACACTTGAATAGACGACTTTAAATACCTTCAACAATAATGTCATCTTTGAATACCGAATTCATAAACAGTATCTTCTTTGACACTATAATTTGGCTAGGAGCAGTTTCTTTCTTTCAATAGACCTTCTACGATATCGATTATTGAAGAGTATTGACTTCTCTCTCTATCGTTTCGAATCGCACCAAGTTACAGCAGTGTGTTATGTGTGTATGTATAACAGAAATATTTGAAGTAACAACACTGTTTATTCTCATTTGTTTCATTAGCACTAATTGTGCATACTAAGTTGTATGTCGTTTGTATAGATTTGTACTTAAGCCTCTTCGAAAGAGTTATCAAACATTACATGATAAGGAATCCAAACCTCCAGTCTAGAATATATACATTTTTTTATTTTCTTGCGTTCATTCAAATATTTCGTGAATTATTGCTTCGTATATTTACTGTGCATACAATGTCATATAATTTTCAAAAGGCGGTTTTCGTGGTCCAGCCAACTTAGTAGATAACACTGGCATTTGAAACGATGTATGCTAAGTTCGAATTTCAGTAAGAAATGCCACCACTCACTGGGATTGCAAGTATATCTCGGTGACGAGTCCTGAATAGGACAAAATCCTTATCCTGAGTTTCTCCGCTAGTCACCATCCAATAAATAACACCTAGATTTATTGGTAATAATTTAATAATTTCCACTGTAACATTAAGAGTACAATATTCATTGAAGAAACCCCTTTCACCGAATTCATTATCAAACTGTACAATCGTATATGTTTCTTTTTAAAAATTACATTCGGTGAGGGAATTAAATCAAAGGTGTGAATACATAAAATAATAATAGCATAAGAACATATTCCAGAATGGCTTTACAAGGGAGAAAGGAATGGTGTACGAAGCTCTACTCAAAAACATTTGATTGACTCCTATCACTCTATAAAATCTGACCATGATTTTAAGAACATCTATCGAATCCATGCTAACTTGCCTCGTTTTCTTATTTCTAAACTTCTATAGACAGCGGAGGCCTTCGCCATTCATGAATCTAAGCTAGACCTTTGTGTACAAAAGAAGTATGTGCAATCCCTACTTCTATCTTGGACGCAGAGGGATAGACATTTATTTATTTTGTTTATTTGGTTAATCTGTGTACCTTTTCCTCATTACTACGATAATAATTAGTATTATTATTACTACTTTCACTTTGAATCGTTTCTACTTGTCACATTTGTCATTCTAAGTCTAAAAAATGTTTTTACAATGTTGAATTCTATCTTATCGAATTTCATACCATGTTACGTAACGTTTTATATAAGCCTACAAACCTTATAATTATACACGCCTACCCAACCCCTATACATCTTAAGAATTATTCGATATATGACATTAATTGTTTTGCCACTTGACATTTAACTATGATTATAATCACATATATTTGAATTGCATTTCATTGGATTTCACTCGCATAAAGAAAGGTTGACCTCTGAAGCCTTGCACATTTTAACCACATCGAATGCAGTAAATAGGCAAAAAGGGACAGACTTATCACACATACATGGCAAACTCTAATGAAGCAAGACAGATGAAAAAACAACAAAAACCTCTATGAACCGCTATGACCTTTAAAAAATGTATTATCATGTTTATCACATATGAATTGACGTGTTTTCACACAAACTCATACAGGAAAATTATACACAATAACAATTTGACATTAGCCATTGCAAATATATGATGACTGCTTACATATTTCTATTGGTACAAGTGTCTATGGACAAGTGACCTTCAAATAGACTGACTTCATTGTGTGTAGAATGACTTCAATTTATGTCAAAATTTTTTGACCATTAATAAAATCCGAATAAATCTGTTGAAGAAGCTGTGGCTTACACAGCGAAACGTTCGGAAAAATCTTCTTTTAATTTTTTTCCTAAACACTCTGGGACTAATTTAAATAATAAATTTATAATGACATATATATTTGTAAGGCAGAATGAGCCAATTTTATGGTCGTACAATTGCAATAAACCTCTCATGAAACCATGGTTAGAATGAGTAATCGCCTATTGTTATTCTAAACAGCAAGTCGCAACAATATTGCCATTATGACATGCTCCAAACAAATTAGTCCTACAATAATGTTGCATTAGGAAAAGAGAAATAAAATGCAAACGTAAGTTTTGAGGTGAAATAAAGTAGGTAAGTGTAATTCTTGAGTAGATATAAATAAGGATTCGTTACCTTATCTAACTTCTGGAAGTAAAAGAAAATAGAGAAAATTTAGTATGCTCGCTACTGGTTTCAGTTCTACACTGTATTTGATGATATCCCAAACAACAGTACCATCTAGTCTCTCAGACCTCACCTATGAAGTCAATACAACTCTCTTTCATTTTACAGCACCATGTCATGTGCTGGCCACCTCTCTGCAATTTCCAACCATTTCTATGGCTAGCAAAAGGTGGACTGCATGGAAACAGCTTGGGTGACATCCGTAATACATATCGAAGCCACAGAAGCATGTTTCTCAAGATGACAATCAATTAAAAGCCGATCTCCGTTCTACTCTGTGTATAAATTACCAAACCCACTTGAAATCTGAGAATTGGTTAAAAACTCGAAAAGTGTACAGTTATACCTGTACATGTTTTATTATTTAGTCACAAAATCAAATTTCACCTTAATGAATGTGTTTAAAACATTTTTAGAAATTACAAGCAATCTGTCAGAGTAGAGAATAAGTCTAATACTCTGAAATGGAATCTTCTTTCAATACATTTAGATATTCCAGAGTTTATCAACACCTGTGGTAATTAGGCTTCTAATCCTAACACGTAACATGCACATTCACATGTTCCTTATTGTCTCACTAACCGCGGGAAAGAACGCTGACGCGATTACCTTATAGAAATCTCATATTTACAGTCCAATTTACTTCGTATTAGACGAACCTTTCACTTAATGGGAAATATAAACTTTGAAAAGTGAATATCCTGTACCCAATGTTAGAATTGCTTAAATCTGTGAGTTAAAACGTAAGTTAGTAAACAGACTGTAATAAAGGTGAGCTATACTTAAAATACCTCAGTTCATTATTTCTGTGGTAAACACAAAATGACAGGTTCCACGTTTACCTAACTTATATTTTACTTGAACAGTAAACTCCTCATATATAACTTTTTCATGTTTCTTTTCAGGGTTGTCGTATACCAGCTAAATCATGTAAACTAACTCCTGTTGATCGTATCTTTTCTCGTCTCGGTGCAAGTGACAAAATGCTTTCTGGTGAAAGTACTTTCTTGGTTGAGTTATCAGAGACTGCGTCTATTCTGCGTCATATCACACCGCACAGTCTTGTTTTGATGGATGAATTAGGTCGTGGAACTTCAACTCATGATGGAGTAGCTTTAGCTGGTGCTGTTCTTTCTTTCTTAGCCAAACCTAACGGGAAATTCGGTGATGGTTGTGGACCTAGAACTTTGTTTTCAACGCATTATCACAGCTTGGTAGATCGATATGCTAATCTCAACCGATCCATTTCTAATGAAGATGTTGATGAATTGTGTATTGGCTTGGGTCATATGGTAAGTAAATGTATATATGATTGTTGTATATTTATCACCAAGTATTCTGTAACCTGGAGATTTTGATGGAAATCTCTTCCTTCTGTCACATACATGATTTTCATAGAAGTATTCCTTTCAGTGTGCGTCGGTGGCATAGCGGTTAGGACGCTCGCCGACCATGCGCATAGTCCGGGGTTCGATCCCCGGTCGACGCACTCTTTACCTCGCTGAGCCAGAAATAATGCTGGTAAAGAGGAAAGGTTGGGCATGAGACTAGCAAACTCATCCTGTAAAATTAAACACTGCTTCAGAAACTTCAAGCCACTAGCTTGAGGTCCTATGTTCCACTAGGGAACGTGAAGGAAAAAAAAGATTCCTTTCAGTGACTTTCTTGAAAAACACTTAAATTTACTTTCATACAACAAAGAAATATGCATTCAAAACACACATATTAAATGACATCAAAAATGTGTTCACAAATAATGAATATTCTAGTGGTTTCATTTAAATACAATTTAGGCGAACAATGTTGTGTGCTGTGTACAGTTTTATGCCAATAGTCACAAAATGATTTGTAGTTTCCAATTAACTTTTACATTCGTTTATCGGTTGGTGACCACCACCTCTCATATTCAATCCTATGTGGATTAATCAAAGCTTTCATAGTTTAGTCATGAAGTCTCTCTTTGATATATAAAGATGTAGCTTATTAGTGTAAGCACACTATGTTCAGTGTATATGTCGAAACTTCGAAATCCACTCCACCATTTTCAGATTAGGTAACTGGATAATATCATCAGTTCTCATATACCAAGTATATCTCACTGCTGGATACATGAGAAATCTGTTCGGGATAAGCGATTGACAAAAATAAAACCTGTCATTCACTGTCAAAGAAAGTTAACCTCAGGGGCAGCTTGATATTTTTCACAATTTCAAATATTTTCTTTTTGGCTAATATGAATGCTAGAAAGCACAATGATGTGAATGACAATCGACTTCTGTGGTCTGATCCCAAGTTACGATGAGTGATTTTGAAAAACCATCCAATCCCATTTCTTTTATATTAGTCATGTAGTAACCAATAAATTTGTGTGTTTAGTATTTCAGAAGACACTAAATGCGTGCTACAACTGGTGGGAAAAAGTTGTCTTTAGTGTTCTACTGAGGTTCTTATTGCCGAAAATTAAAATGTGCTATGTAATAATCCGTATCACACTCCAGTTCTAACCAATAATACTATTTCGTTGCGTAATATCCTTAATTTAGAGGTGGCCAAACGAAAACCTGACATCAATCCAGGAAGTCCTTGACCGTTAGTTTGAGCCACATAGGGAAGTGTAGACTGCCTGATTGGAATCCCCAGGATTCTAAGGTTCAATGATTTGAGGCTGTTGGTGGTATGGCTCAAAACTGTTCTCAAGGGCTCACTTGCACTCTCTCTGTTTGATCTCCCAGTTTCCTGACGTCCGAATGTTTCTTTATGTTACTATCACTTCTCAACAAGGATGTCTATTCGGCACTTTCATACTCAAAAGATGTACAGTCGCATTTATATGTTTAAGCTCACATAGTTACAGTTGCTACTTAATTTATCATAGTTGCAAATGGAAATTAACGGAGGTAATCATTTTCAACGTGTTATAAAAGTAGGAAGGTGTGAATATAGATTACTAGGGGGATAGGAAAATAATTACATGGGATTAGAAAATAGTTGCGTTTCTATAAAAAAAATTTTCACGAAGACAAGTGTGAACGGGATGTGTATATAAACAAATCGAAATAACAGATTTTATAAATGATGGTGAAAAAGTATGAAGGGAATGAAAATAAACAACAGTCAGAGAAACAAACAGAACTAGATCCATGGTACACCAAGCGACACCGCAAACAAACTTCAAAGTCGTCTACAGCGTAAGAAGTAGTCTCCCTAAAGGTGTACGAATCAGACTTCTTCAAAATGCAGAAGCAATGGCGATTAAATTGCTAAGTTCTGAACTCTGCATACAGAAGAAGTCCGTTCAACCACTACACTTGCAGTGGACATAATCTATCTTATCGCCCGACAATTAAATTCTACCTAATCTCTTTTTTTCTGTCTCTTCATTGGTATTATTTTCTTCTCAATTGTAATATTTTACATTTTCAACTTTCTTCTTCTCTACCCCCACTCGATTTAATTTCAACACCTCGCTACCACTGTTACTGACTTGAACAACGCTCAGTGTCTAGTCATTTATGTTACGTCATCCAACTTATTTGCTCAATTTCGGTTCTAATTTAAATGGCATTATTCTCTACCCCACTTCTACTTAGTCTCTACCTGTAATTACCTCTGTTGCTACCCTGACCTAAGTTAAAACATTTTAGTCAATTATATTACCTCATCTAACTTACTAACCTTGTTTCTATATTAGATCATTCTTGTATTACCTGATCAATTATCTAAACTTGACAAACCTCATGTACACACACAGACACACAAAATTATATATAAATGCGATTGTACACCTATGGGAATGAATTCGCCGAAAAGGTCTCTTCGCTGAATGTCTTCTCTTCTTCATAGAACTGAAATAAAACTGCAACCTTCTCTGAAGTTAACTTTTCTAACTTGAATTGCTGCACTTTTGTGCAAATTCTACAATGAGACTGAATCAATCAAAAGACTGGTGTTTTTATTAGATAAACTGGAACAGTTGATGATTAAGTTGTTGTTATCATATAAACTGATATTTTGTAAATTTTGGTTTTATAATACTTTGATAAAGCTATTAGCATTAAATAGCGGAACGTCAACAAAAACAATATTGTTTCAAGTATTCGTTTGTAGGGATTTGATTGATTGGTTACAGGATTTCACTATGAGCTGACATCGGTTAGAGAACCATTGGCAAAAACTCCACAAACCAATACTTGAATATCAGTGAAGATGCGCACTAGCGACTGGCCCTATTCAGGTAGATAGTTACCTGGGTTCTAGCGGGAAGTCGTGAACAGTAGAGTGCAACAGGTCGTGTGTGAGGATAAATACTTGCCGAAGACATTGGCTAGCGGTCGTGCTATGTTGTGAATTGGCAGAAGTTAGAATTCATGGCCTGGCCATTGGATCGGATCCCATTGAGTGGCTTAACGGTCCACAAGCTCGCCTTGTTACCAGAAGGTCCTGGGTTTGAACCCCTTTGGTCGGTGCGTACTGCTGAAGAGTCCCAAACTAGGGCGAAAAAGCTGTCCAGTACTCCTAGGTGGTTTTCCAATGGTTCTCTAGCCGATGTCAGCTCATGATTACATCCTGTAGCCAATATGATTTTATTTTTCATTCATTACGAAATACCAATACTCATTACAACCTCTCTTCTTCGACTGGTGTATCGGAGTTTTGTATTTGTAACATTTTATAACTATTTCATATGATAGACCTCAGGTTTACCTTAACCCTTGTTTAGATTTTGAAATCAGTTTATTAATCGTATTGTAAAAAACTAAAATGAACAGTAGTTTATTATTTATATGTGCTTTGTGAATCTCATTTTCCCTGTGAGTTAAATGCTGCAGGTATTTGAGTAATTCTCATGAAAACTCTTGATTGTAATGTATTTTTCGTTGTTTCATTAGTTTTCTGTGAATCTGTTGAGCGATTTCTTCTCTCACCCGTATCCATTACTATTAGGCTTGCATGGTGGAAGAAAAATCGGAAACAGAATCTGGTTTGGAAAATATTACTTTCTTGTATAAATTTATTCCTGGTGCCTGTCCGAAGAGTTATGGTTTCAATGCAGCTCGATTAGCTCTGCTGCCGGATGAGGTTAGTTCTTCATAAGCATTTTAATAGGCTTATTTGTATTCTAACTTCTTTTTGTTTATATACTATAGTATCATTACATCTCTACGCTGTTTATCTTCGAAGTGTTGCAACTGTAACCGACTGTATAAATGCATAACACGTGTGATTGATTGGAATGAGTAGTTGTATACCATTTACATCAACCAGCAGTGCTTGCTAGCCAAATTAAAGTGATTTAAACACCGATTTGAATTGATTGCAAGCTGAGTCAGACCAGGTATATCGCTGATGAACTTGGCTTCAAACGAGTGAAATAGCCATCTGGTGTTTAGATCACTTCGATGTGGCTAGCAAGCATTACTGCTTCATGTAATGGGTATACAACTATTTATCTGCATCAGTCAGTCAGAAGTATGTAGTCTCAACCATTTATGCTTCTTTTCTTGATCACTTTTTATGATACCAAGCAGACCACACATATTGGGATCCAAATAATTTCGGTTTCGATAGAGAAAAAAAAACCAGATTTGCAGTATAAAATGATATCACCATTCTATTTCACAGGTTCTCATCATCTGCAAACTACCTGAAATTACAGTGGTTATAAATAATAACGTTTCATACTTCAGTGTCTGAAAGGTAATAAAGAAAACATTATAAGATGAACGCATCCAGAATATAAGTATTACAACTTTTAGTTTAAGTTACCGGCAGTTTATATGCTATCAAACTATAAAAAGGGGGGAGGGGAGAGAAGACAGAAAAATCTAATAAACAGTGTTAGCGTGTACGTCAACTGAAGAAGGTTAAAGTTCATTAAATTGAAAACTTGCTTACTGAGCTAAGCTCACTAGTGTGTATGACAAATCAGTGTAATAATAGTAATACGGTTGCCAAGGGAGTGAGAGATTAAATACACTCTCTTTCTGTGTGTATAATTTTGGTCTGAGACGTTTGGTTGCAATTGCTTCAGCAAATCGTAGTAGATTCGGTGTCCTTTGTATGTTTAATATTTTGAAGGATATGGAAATCTCGACAAAATGACCCATATCCAGAAGGTGTCTGGTGATTGCACTTTGTAAATATCTGCTTCCTTTTAAGCATAAGTTGCTTGGAATATGCTCTGAAAATCGGATAGAAGCCCTTCTTTCTGTCCTTCCAATGTACTCGCTACCGCAGGTGCACGTAAATTTATAAATGCTGTTGTAAGTAACATCATCAGGGTACTTATCCAGTTTCAATTGGCTTTTAATCAACACTCATTGTGGTCACAATTTTTAATAATTAGGCGGATGCACAACATTTTCGCTTCTCTCTCCATTATTTTTCATTTGTTCGCCTTGATTTGAATATAATGTTGTTATTTACTCATAGGTTAATCGATTGGGTCTAACAAAAGCGAAGGAATTCGAGAAAACAACAGCAACTTTTGCCTGTTTGAGGTGAGTACAGTAAACTGTTAGCTGGACCTGAACCTGTATGAAGTTTGTGGATAATAAGTGACTGTAATTTATTCTACCGCAATCCGCGTACACTACGGGGGCCATAAAATGCATCGTGACATATAAATAGAACAAGATAGCTGTTTGATATTTGTGATATCGGTAAATTAATATCTAAACGCCCAAGAAATGCAGATTCATTTCTCGAGTCTTAGACTTAAAGTGTGATGCAAAAGACAGCAGACAAACGCTATGAGTCGTATTTCAATAGTTGCTGGTAAATAAGTGAAGTTCGTTCTCTATTTGTTCTTTTCGTAAATTGGAACTGATATCCACTAACTTGACAATAAGTACCAAACATTCATACTTACCTTTTTAATTGAATGTACATGTCGTCACAAACCAACATCAATTAGAGGACCATTAAAAACCGAACATCACCCACTAGACAGTTGTTTCCTCCTCCTAGTTTAGGGTTCTCTACAAAATCCAGTAATCTAAATATCAATCTGCAGCTCGTTGGTGGTATCTACTGAATGGATGTCCTATAGCTGTGCTAGGAAGACGTGGTCAATAGGGTCCATCATTGTCAAGGTGAAGCTGATGTTCACATCAAAGGCACTTATTGAGTGTTTCAGTGAATCATGAATTAACAAAGTTAAGATTCACCGGTCAATGAATTCTTGCCCAAGCAGCCTAATTCATGACGAGCTTGGTCTCGTAACTCGAAGGTGCAAGGTTCGATCCTTGGCGCTGTTGTTGGTGTCTCAAAGTAGGATGAAACAGCTGTCCAGTGCTCCTTGCTTGTCAGTATTCTCTAATTGATCTTGGTCCTAAACAAAATCTACGCTGAAATTAATCCAAATCCCTAACAATTCAATAGTCGTATCGCAGTAGTAGGCTCTACATTTTTGGATACGTGAATATTAGAATACTGTGGTCAGGAAACAGAAATCAAAATTACAATGTTAGGGTTGGGTGCAAGATTGAATAATAGTCTGTTGGTTAAGGTTGTCCATTGAATATAAAACATAATATAAAGTGTGAATAACAAATAGGCGACATTCATGTCAATGAGAAGTTTGTGTATTGTTAATTTATATATTTTGCTCAAAATATTACCAAAATTAAAAAAAACCTATCATTGTGTGTAAACTTTTGAAATGTAGTTATAATTAATTTAAATAAGTGGTACACTAATGTATTCACAAGGTATAAAACACAAGATTCAGAGGGTGAGTTTTATTCATTGGTGGTGAGAGAAAATATAAACAAACGGGATACACTTGTAACGACAGAAGATAAGGGCCAGGCAACACATCGTTTATTGAGAAAATCAACAGATATTTATTAACATTATTATTCGTTATTGTTAGCGGAAAAGCAACATCTTCTGATTGGTTGTTTTCCTACTGAAGGTTATTCCGTCATCTCTTTGCTGCCGTTTCTTAGACAGTCCGTTGATATATCTGCGAATCGTATCCGCCCACGCTAAGTGTGCTGTGATTGGTTGTTGAGTTAGTCTTTGTTTGTTTTCTGATGACCAAGATATGGGATGTAAACATGACGTAAATTGCTGTCTACCAATTTTGACTGGTAAACAGCTCTCACCACACACTAAATTTAGATTTGAGGGATGATAGATAACAAAAGTAATGATAAAATTCACTGGACAGCAATCGAAAAAATAAAGACTTCGGATAAACTTGGTGCGAATCCTAGGGTTGACAAATGATAGTAGTAGTAGTAGTAGTAGTAATAATGATACTGTTGTGAAGTAAACAAGTGTGTAGAAAGGAAATACTAACACATTGGGTTTTTATAAAAGATATTTTTTGTAGAATTCGTATTTCCTGTCACACCTTTGAATATGATTCACCTCGTGAAACTTACGTATTTTTGATTGTAAATATACAAGTTGGTCATCTAATTAATTGTTAGGTCCAATAATATCTTGTATTCTTAATAAGTATACATCTTGTATGTATTTCAATGAGTGTCAAAACTAAGAAAGAGTATTTATTATTCCATCTTGTAACTTATGAATTTTCCGATACAAAATTGATTTGATTTTCCTTTCCTGGACTATTTATTGTATTCTAATATTCATGGATAGATAACTGTAGGGCCACAAGACGATATATATATCGATTACATCTTGAGGATCTCGTGTTTGTAAGTTACACCTAGCAGTCAGTAGTCATTGACTTTTCCATCTCCTACTTTTGTTTACCCTAAGGTTTGTTTTAAATCCCAAAAGAATTACACAAGCAACGTAGGATGATTAGCCGTTTTTTAATTCACACCAACATATCGAGTAATGTAACAATGGTGAAGGCATTAACATAGGAATAATCACATAACAAGCACCTAGAATGTACGTAAGATAAGAGTATGTGAGTATGAGTACTAGAGTATTCAAAGTTAAACTGAAGTTATGATTTGTGCAATTGTGTATCTCAGAAATCTGTTAACATAGCTCTTACCTTCTACTAAACTTCTACAGTGTCAATAAAGCAAAACGGGGAGGAGGGGCCAGTAAGTAGTCGAAATCTTGTCAACTCTTGACAAAGGAGTTCTTTCCATCATTTATCTGTTTTATTCCTTTTTGTAGAAAATTCTATAGTTATTTGACACCGTTCTCTATTTTAGGACATTGTTACAAGGACGAATGACTATTGAGGAATTGAGACAGTGGAGTTCTAAATTGAAAACATTTTTATAACATACCTATCTCATATATTTCCACGCCTATCAGATTGCATTTACCATTTTCTACATATTGATAAATTTTTAATATATTTGTGTTCTATTTGGTATTCTCATGTTATAATTTGACTCAGTCTTTCACATACATAGATGTTATCAGTGGAATCAAATGTTATGGGGTTTTCAAACGCAGGTGTCTTGTAGACAACACTCGGATGTACTAGAAATGCCATAGAATGGGCGTGGAACGTTGAGCAGGTTTGTTGATAAAGCACTGTGAATCCACTGACTATAAGTTTAAAGGGATCGTAATATAACTAAAATTCCCATTTTGACATTTAGAAGGTAAAATGACTGGCCGAAGAAATATTCGCTTTTCAACTAGATATTCTCGTCATTAGCAAATTTAGTTCAATACAACATTTATTAATCTAGTGGTGATACGTTTGTGAACATTAAATTAGACAATGTTAACATGACAAGGGGTGCGAATTAACTAAGAAAACTACTGCAATAATAAAAAGGGTTCTTTAATCGATGTCAGCTCATGATGAAATCATGTAACCAATCAATCAAACTTATACTTGAAATATCATTTACGAAACACCAAGTAATGACCGTGAGGTTAACTAAATAGGTCAAACTGGTAAATCAGAGTGAATTAAGTTGGTGGAATATAGGGACTTAGATCTAGAATGATTCACCTAATTTAGAAAAAAACGTGACCATTGCGATGAATGTAATCATACAATAGGGTGTGTAAACGTGTAAGAAAGTTAAATAAATAAGGGCAGAGGCAGAGAATATAAGAAAAAGGCATAAACAACGAAGAAAATTTTCTTTTCGACGATCCATTTTCATGACTTGTACAATTGTAATTATATTTAACAAAAAATCATAAGACAAATCAAATACTGGTAAACTTAGTCCTCGAAAAATGCGATACGTAATGTAAGGTGTAACCTAGAGGGGATGAATGATCGTAAGCTAGAAAAGAGGTAGAAGTTGACATGACATAATAGGTGTGAGATAATGACTCATTAGTAAGCTCGTGTAGATTAGACAGGAACTAGTGGAAAGGCGATACAGTGTTTTTATATAAAATCTGTATGAAAAAGCAATGTTATCAATAGAGTTATCATAGAGTGGTAATAAAATATGGATGATGGGAATAATAATGATAATAAAATAATAGTATTTACTATTATGACAATAATAATAGTAAACCTACATAATAAAAAGAAGCAAATCTATAGTGAGAACTTTACTCCGGTCTTACTTTCTTTACTTTACTTCGGCTATCTCCTACGGGAGGATGAGCCGGCTTCATGAACATCTGGCATCATCGCTGCCGAGGCGCGGCGATCTGATGCAAGGTTTTGCAACAGGGTTATCCAATTCTTGTTCCACAGACGGAGTCTGTAGACGGTTTGTAGCCCCAGGAACTACTTCATATCAGCCTTGACTGTACCAAGCCATGTTTTTAGCTGTCCACCCCTGCGACATCGCCAAGCCGGGAACGCCGTAGCATGGTGAGAGTTCTTTGTAAGAGAGTTCATGAAGTTTCATGGGAATTAGGTACGAGTGATGTCCCCAGCATTGCTCGGCCTTTTGTTTGAGAGTGCAGCTCCAGCCTTTACACAACCAAGTGTGACCTACAAGGCATTAGGAGTGGAGTAGGGAGTCCACTATCCATTGGCAGCCGGTGACCGGAGTCCGGTTCATACGCCTTTTTGAATGGGGCCAGACATCCAGGGCATCCAATAAGCCCTTTAAGTCTGCCGGTGAGCTTCATACGCCAGTCGTTGGAGGTTTGGAATCAGGGTTTAGCCATCTCCCCTAGACTGTCATCCAATGGACAGTCAAACCGGTGAAGAGCGCCGGGCATCCGCTTTTGCCCTCTCACTTCGGTGCAAAACACCTCCGCTACGTGAAGGCAGTGAGTAGGACTTCCTCAGGAGAGGCTGTGTAAGACGCCCGGTCATATGGGAGCATTTCAAGAGGTGTACAGAGGGGTGGCCAACCGGCAGCGCAAGGCACCCACCCCCGACCATCCGGTCACAGTAGGGCGAGTGGATGTATGTATCGCTTTTGAATGTAGAGGTCCGGTTTCAGATCCCGAATAGCTAATGCTTCAGCTATGTACAGATGGCGTATCTGAAGTCCATTTATACGATATTGAGGAACTCTGTGAAGCATTCATGCAATGGTGCTCGATGTCCGGAGATGACAAGGTGTTCGAGGATAGAGCTGTTGCTATACTTCTTTTCTCCGCTGGCTAACCAAGCTGGACAGTGTTCCAGAATACGTTTGTGGACTTGACGTTGCGTACGGCCGATATAGTTTGCTCCACATGAGCAAGTAAATTGATAAATACACATTGAATTGGCCAAAAGCGGTATCTTTTCCTTAGCGTTAGACTGGATTAACTGTCTGTAGGAGAATGTGATACATAGGGTGGTTGTTGGAAATGTCTTCTTCAGACATTTAGAAAGGCGTTTTCTGAGAATTTCTGCTGGCACATCACCTTTGAATTCTACGTTCATGAAGAGTTTTCTTAGGGACAGTTGCGATATGTGGTGACGGACGCTTCTCTGTTATGTTTTTGTCTATGAATCTTGGCGGATGCCCGTTCTTTAGTGAAGTTCCACGTATTAAATTTAATCCTTTCTCTATCATGTCTGCCGAATAGATTTGTTTAATTCTTGAACTTATTGTACGTACCAGGTTTCGCTTTCGGATCAGTGAGACGCTCTGGAAGCTTATAAACCATCCAGTCTTGAGATATATCGATCTTTGGATTGTATAGTCGTGTCATCTGGTAAGTAGTACATTGGGGAATGGAAATGCCATGTTCGATTCACGTTCTATTGATGGATGTGCCGCGTTGAAGATACTCTAAATCAGATTTTTTATCACAAATTATGAACGTATCATCTACGTATCTCCTGTTGACTTATCAAAGGACCGAGGACTCGCCATGAAGCAGTCGGCTAGGAGTGGACCGAGAGGAGACGCCATGACTACACCATATCTCTGTATGTAGAATTGTTCACTGAATTTGAACTGGATATTAAACGCACATCTGAGAAGTAGTTCCTTCGAGTAGTTTATGGTAAGAGGAACTCCTAGGTTGTTGGTTTCGATGTAGTCCCAAAGGTTGCATATTGTTTCGGTCAGGTGGATACTTGTGAATAGAGAAAGGACATCTAGTGAGAGCATTTGTCTTTCAAACACGTTGATATCTTTCAGTGAGTCGATGAAATCAAATGTATCGCTAAGGCTATATTTTGTCATATTTCTTCTTACTGGATCAAGGATATCAGCAAGCCGCTTCGCTATCTGATGACATGGCGTGTTAACCATGTCTATGATAGATCGAAGTGAGACATCCTCCTTTAAGGATAAAGTGCATATTTTACGTAAAAACACTGTATCGCCTTTCCACTAGTTCCTGTCCATTATATACGAGATTATTAATTAGTCATTATCTCACACCTGTTATGTCATGTCAACTTCTGCCTTTTTTCTAACTCACAATTAGTCATCCCTCTAGGTTACAGCTTACGTAATACACTTTTCGAAGACAAAGTTTACCAGTGTCTGACTTGTCTTATGGTTTCTTTGCTAAATATAGTTACGATGGCACAGTTCATGAAAATGGATCGTCGAAAAGAAAATTTTCTTCGCTGTTTACGCCTTTTTCTTATGACCCAAAATGGAAATATTTCGTTCATTGAAGACAGAGAGAAGTTAATGACCGAATCTTTGTTCAGCGAATTAACATCAAACACATACAGTCGAAATGAGACAGCCAGTATGACATATTGGGAGAGATACAATAAAAACAGGGGTGGTGGGAGTATTACAACATCCAATAAACCTATGCAATATGGAATTATAATCTACCACGCTGCCCGATTTCTACACTTACAATAGACAGATATGTGTGCAGTGTCACTTTGTTGAATTGAATCTGAAAAATGCGTCCCAAAAATTAATATCCGAGGGCATTTCTACTCCTAGTAATGAATCGTGTAAATCTTCTGGTTGTTCAGTAGCATTAGCGTATTTACGCAGTCTAGTGTCAACCGTAATTCTGCAGTCGCTAGAGCTTCTTTGTGTCGCCCCGTTCCATTTTATAATTGTTGATTTACAGCTTGATTCCACACTGTATTTTTGGTACAAGTATGGAATTTTCAGCATGGATATCGGTAGCCCGAATTTTGCAGGCCGACCATAGATATCAGGTGTGCGCCGGCGTGGGCTCGAACCCCGGACCATGTGCATGGTCGGCGAGAGTCCTAACCACTGTGCCACCGACGCACAATGTTACACTGGCATTTATGTGAAGAGTAAATGTACTAAGTAGTTCCATGTAGCTATCAATATTCAGTATATTTAAAGCCGGTCGATGACACTTTTTATGTCATGTAACCACCGCTGCAGTCCTCCTATTTCCCTTCGTTTCGTCATATAGCATATTGAAATCAAACTCAATGACACACTGCAGTTGAGTCTCTTCAGGCATTCATTTTACACCAACGAAACTCAAAGATAATGTTCGTAATTGAAAAATCTGTAATTTTCCTACCGCTGTAAAAGTCAGGTATGCGTAAACTATGCTCCGTTGTCAGAAACTTCATTGTTTGCGGGTCCGTGAGCTTGGAAAAGTTTCCTCAAATATGTAGGACGAGTGGTTCATAAATTCATGGACAGAATTAAGTATGTCACCATTTCGGTAGGTGTGAGGATCATTATACAGCATAAAAAAACCGTTGCTTCCCATAACTAAGCTGAAATCTGAACCTGACTGTCAAATATATGACTTGATTTCGATCGTAGTAATAGTTTGAATTGTTAAATGAGTTACTTAATCCCAGGAAGTAGTTTATCTAACAAATGAATATCTGGGACTACATTTAGCACCTATTGATGATCATGTAAATGATACCAGGAATTGTTGTTTTCAATGTTTTTACATTCAGATAAAGAATGAACGCTCTCACATCTATG